AATTTTGGGCAACTTACAGTATTTCTAAATATGCTTGGCCAGAATTTCCAATTTCTAAGTGTTAATGTTTTATTTTATTGATTTAATTAATTATTTTAATGTTCCAAACACCTAATTTATTAATAATTCAATTTGAACGTAGTTTATTTTCGATATTCTGTAATTTCAATTCAATTTTTATCTACTCCGTATATTTTGCGGGATTTTGATTGAGCCTCAATTTTATATTTTGTATAAATTTGGAATGTAAGTCACAATCCAATGTTTAATAAAATTTTGAAAGCTTTATTCAATGTTTCGAATGTTCAAAATTGTTGTGCAACTGATTTTTCCTTTTTTTACTGCATTGGTCATAAATAAGGATACCAGAAAAGGAAGAATAATAACATTGAAACACAATATTGATTCTTTATTTGGTAATGAAGGAAGTCTTATAATAGGCCTATCGGTGGCGTAAATGTTGGACGTGCGGTTATTTGTGGTGGTGGTGGTGGCTGAAACGTCATTATTGCTGGCGGTGTACTGATGTTGAAAGATGCGATGAAGACGTTAATTATTGTTATCATAAAAACACCAGATACTACATAATTATTTATTCTGCGAGCATGCGCGAATTTCGATTCTCCCTTCATGTCAAAACGGCCTTTGAAAATTAGGCTTACGCCCACTGCAATCTGAAGTAATGACAAAACGGATTATAATTCAATATAAGAAAAAAGAAATGAGCAAATAATTTCTCTTTGAAATTTTAATGCTCATGATACAAACCTGAAGTAGTAAACTGACTACTATGAGAAACACACTGACGAAAAATGTCGGACTGTGCCTTTGAAATTCAATTAAATAACGAAGTTGATTCGCGTTTGCAGTAATTAACGCCACGTCCATCATTCCCTGTGCAACTGTTTTCTTTGCCGCATAGGAAACTGGTTGTCTTGCTGGGACGCCATATCTTCGTTTATCCGTAGTATCAATTGTCAAAACAGTATCCTTTATAATGGGTTGTTCGATTACTGGTTGTAAAATGTCAGTTTTTGATTTTTCACCATCGTTCGTTGTAATTTCTATTTTCTCGTCACTGACAGCAGCAGGGTTGGTTACTTTGACGCTCTCCATAGCCATTGCTATACCAAGTCTGTGGAATAGAGTATATAATTATATCTTTTTGTTTTGATATACTAACTATGATCTATCATCCAGGAAAAGTTCATTGTCATTGAATTTATATACACTTAATCATCCATCAGTCTGTAATCTCACTTTGATGAAGAATCAAATACAGGATTAATAACTTGTCTGAATGATAAAAAAACAATGTTATTGTTACTGCTTGACACTTGATTAACACACTATAAATATAATGCGTATATTATAAAATCATAAAAATTTATTTTTTTAACAAGACTACAGTTCTCAATATAAATGATAAACAAACATTCAGATTTTCTATTAAACGTGGCTTACCTTTGTATTTTTGTATTATTCAACAGCTGATTTTTATTCAATTTAACAATTGATTTTTATCATAAAAACTTATGAATGCTCTGTATGATTAACACATAATATTTCACATTGTGTTATTAGAACTAGGAGACCATGCTACGCCGTAAAGGACTATCGTAAAATGAGTACAGTTTCATGGCGAATCACATATTAAATATACGATAAAGCTTATCAACGTTTGTTACTTATATCCTCCCTGGCACACAATGCAACCGCAGAATGCTTTGTAAATATGTTGTAATCGGAATTAATCAAGTGACAAGTAAAGGAAGTGGGATCCCCTGTTCTCTAAAAAGAACGTCATGTTCGGATTTTTCATATAGAACCGGAAACTCCATTCGTGCGTGTATTTCCTATTACTCTGACAAAATCTTGGGATAATTCTTAAATGACGATTCTTCAATGACGTCCAGAAAATCATATTAGAGAAAAGACATTTTTCGCCTCACGAATCTCCTTCGTTCCTGGAACATATTCTTTTCTAATTCATCACTGTCAATGATGAAGCGAATGCATTGCAGCTCGTATTTGCCAATAGTCAGGAAGATTTTCGATTGGTCCAGTGGCTACGACTGCAGGGCATCGATCGTATATATATTCGTTTGCGACATTTCGAATCATGTCGACAGAGACATTCTTTAAAAAAAAAACGCACAAATTAGTTGACAGGTGATTGTTAAAAAATTCTATCTATTACCTCATATTTCGCGAGTCTGTCAGTGAGAGACTCGTAGCGACCGTGACGAAAGAGACAAAGTGAAATGTCAAAAAATCTGTCAACTGAATTAGTTATTCTTGTCAATTCTTGAGTCCGACATTGATTAACAGCACGTTCGACTTCCTTTTTGGTGATAGTAGTACATAACCTCTTCCATTCGCTTTGGATCAGTAACATCATATCCTGTTACATCAAGGACCATGACAAGAGACTGACATACAGATTTGTTACCATATTAAAATATAATAAAAGTATGATAAAAATTAAACTAACGTCTAAGTTATATTTATGACAAATAAAATAACATCCCCAAAGTCCAGTACAGCCCCATCCAAAATTGAATGATTTATAGGAGTAACACAAATGAGTTTTGAATGCTTCGACTGCCAAATATGGCGCGTTGTTACTGCCGCCACCTGTACGATTAATAGATTAACTATTTTCTTCATTGGCGAGTGGGACGCTTGGTAAAAAATATTTATATTTTCAATAAATAAAACGTGCCATAACTCATGTCCCAGGATCCCATTATTTCTTTAGCTACAGTCAATGTGCAGTGATCTTGGCATTTTGCATATCCTGGACCTTCAATTGCCACAGCTACACATGCAAATTTTTCGTCGTCATCTCGAAGCCTTAATTCAGATCCTGATAATGCGTACAGATCACGTAAAAAAATTATTTTTTGTAAGAATGTTGAACTTTGACAGTAGCATAAATATAACGTGCACCTGAATATCTGAATGGTGACCCTGATGCAAAATACTTCATTCTACAATCGCCTGGTATTGGCTCACTGTCTTGTTCTACTCCTATGAAATACTTGCTCGCCATTCTTTGAATTTCGCAAAGTGAAGTGCCACCAGTAGAGACCATAGTCATGAAACAGGGTTGAAACAGTCGTTCACGAAAATTGTTTACGTGTTCCGCACACAAATTTCTGTTGAAAAAGACTTCTGTGTATACACGATCGAATTGTATAATTGATTATGCCATTAATTAAACGTTACTTGATGATACAACTTTCGGGATAGATACTTTTCGATAATTCTGTACCCTGATAAGCAATATCTTGCAAATAATCCATAACTACTCCTTCGTAATCCGTTTCCATTTCGGCAAGTTCACGCAAAATCACAAAACGTTCCTTTATTACATCCTCGTCACCTGGATCAACGACATTTCATATTTATGAGGATGCAGTGAATTTTGTTGTATAAAAATAAAGACTGATTAGCTTACACGTGATACCGTTCAAAACAACGTCTGCCAGAAGTTCAACGATTTTCTCAGTGTCGCAAGACGGTGACGTTCCATAAAATAGAAAAATGTCTCTCGTAGCCAGTGCAGCCAATTTTCCACCAATTTTCTCGAGTTCCAATTCCAACTGTTCCTGCTTTCTGCATCTTGTTCTCTGAAAGCACGAACGAAATAAATGTTATGAATATCACTTGGCGATCTTGATTAAGAAGGTCGTGCAGCATAGAATTATCACTCGAAAGATAAGATGTTCCATAAATAAAGCTGCGCCGCGTTCTTCCGGCATTTCATACATTGATCCAGCTGGCAAAAAACAACCAACAGTGGTAACGCAAGAAGGTTTGTATTCGCAAACAAGTCGCATGCCATTTTTCAAATCGCAAGATTCCATCAGACCTTCAGGAACACGAAAACGCTCATAACATGAGTCAGACTTTGTCTTCCTTTGAAAACTCTTGTTCCACGTTGAAAAGCTAATTGACTGTCATTCAACAGGCGGGAAATTGAAAAATTTTTTCAGGTTATATTATTGATACTTAATTTAAACAGCCACAAAACATACTCGAGGACCACGGTGAGAACAAAAGCTGCGCCTGAGAGTCAACATCATTTTTGAAGAAATAATCTTGAAATGAAAATGAACAAGATAAATAATCGACTTGAAACCGCTTGCAAATTTTTCGCAGAGATTTCGTGTCGTTTAATTCAGTCGACAAAGGAAACAAAAAACAGAAGACTGAGAACAATGCAAGACGCGTCTATTGACACTTAAAAGTGAATCTGCAGTCATACAAAGTTTCAAAGTTTTGCAGTTGCTCAAGTTACTTACCAACGCTCGGGATACGTGTATAATATTTTATCTAACTGTAGTGTTTGTGCTAAAACCCCACAAAGATAACAATAGAGACTCACGTGCATGACTCTCCCGCACCCACCACCCTTACCGCAGGACTTGTACGACAGCAACTGACCACCACTGTTATCTGTTTCCATAATCACGCGTGGAATGGTTAGTTTTCCACAATGAACTCTATATTTCCTCCCTCGCTTCACACTGTTGTTTCACTCGGTGGTGAGGAAGTTCGCCCACGACACAGATTGACCTGCTTTTTCCAAATACGCAAAGCTGTTGCATGTCTCTGACGCTTATAATCTGCAGGTATTGAGAAGTTGCGTGCCTCATCGAATATACTTTCAAGTGACAATAGACAGATTCTTTATTTTTTTTTATTGGATACAAAACTTATTGAACAAAGCATGTAGTCGGGTTGACAGTTTGCAGTATCGTTATACAAATTATTCAACTGTATTAAGTGCACAAACACGTCACAATTGTGATACCAGTTATGATTGTACTATCAACGGCAATTTTCTTACATTGAATAAGATTTGACACAAACGTGTCAGCTATCGAATTTTTAAAATGGAATCATGCGATCTAAGTCGTACAATGTTAACCATTTAGGAATAAACAAATTTTCCACTTCATTTCCTCCTTTCTCATTTTCTTCAATTGGCATAAAAATACAATGTCTTGAAGTGATCCTTGGATACAGCCATTACCCTTAATCATGTGTCAGCATATACGTACTGTCTGACAGTAATGTAATAATTATTTACAATTCTACCATTGTATAAATATTACATTACCGTCATATTTTATATAGCAAATATATATAACCAAGTATATACTACACAGGCTTCTTCAATACAAATGCACTATCTGAAGATGATTCTACCACAGAAATCATATGAACAGGCTAACTTTAGGTGGTTGCATTTGATTTGTATAACTATTATGTCGCGCGTTTTCTGAGATACTTTTACGTTTCTTTTATTAAAAAAAGAGCACATTTTTGCACCTCCCCTTTCCTTCCTCTCTCTTCGTCCCATTTGTATCTAGCAAAGAGAATATATTAACATTGCTTGAAGAATAACAACAAAGTGTAACGAAATTTTTTAAGACTCCGACTGGATATCTTCGCCCTGCAAGAACTTACAATTATACTACAGAATTGTATAAAGCGTAAGATCTTGTATTTACAACGAACCTGACTTGGTCCTCGTCACAGCATCCTTCGGGCACATATTTTCTTCACGCGCCTTTCTCTTCATTAATTTTATCCTTAACTTCCTCTCTCTCCCACTCTCCCTCTCTCTCTAATTTATTTTATCGAATACTCGAGCGACCCAAGTAATATCGAATGGTCGTGGCTACTTAATTTTTTTTTAAATTACTCATTGCATAGTATACAGGATGTTTCGTGATTCAAGGCGCGCTCGACGCGTCAGGAAGCACAGAACTGGATCCTTCTGAATAAAATTATGATTATTATTCTTATTATATTGAAAGAATCTAATTACTTCCCAAGACGTTCCGAGAATTCACGAAGGAGCCAACATCAGACGGCGCTTTCAACGCAGAAAATAATTCGGATCTCTGCGAACCGTCGAGGAATCCCCGACTTACGTCGCCCTAGAATTTTCATCTTCCTGAACCCCTCTACCTGTTTTCCTCCTCGTCTGAGATATTTTTGTGGGCCCCGCTAATGTTTTACGGGATTATGTCTCATCGAATGATGAAACAACCTTCACATTGGTCTTTTGTGATTTGAACATTTGAACACCATCCTTCGTGACTGCTGTGCCAGTCACGTCCAGATATTCCAAACTGGATGCATTTAGTGCCAAATGGACTAAACTGTGATTTGTCACTCGAGGGTAATGTCTGAAAATGAAAATTTCAAGTAAGATTCACGGGGAACAGAATACATTACTGAGTATGAACGAAGAAGGGAGTAGCTTTTGGGTTTCTTTTAAAAAATTGTCTTCCTTTACCTGACAACGAGCGTTCGTAAATGTGGGTTATTGAAGATCCGTCTGTCCTCTTCAATAACTACAACATCTTCTATAGAATTTTGAACTCTTCGATCGCACACGTAACTACCTAATGCACATATGGCTCTGTCGGATATGAGACAACGCTCGAAATTTTCCCAGAGAAATTCGTCCTCCACAAGGAACTGCAAGATAATTATTTGGATTCTTCATTCTTATTTTCTCTTCTCTATTCTGTTGTACCTGTACAAGATTTCGATCCTCGAAAACTGGTCTTTGCGCAGCTTGCCGCTGAAGTCGTTCTTGCTGCTGCTGCTGCTGTTGTTGCTGCTGCTCTGCCGACTCAGCATTTCTCAATATCGGTGGACATTCCAGGTAAAGATGCGTCAAAGTCTTGGTGCTGCTGAAGCAGCAAATTTCGCTGTCACCTAAAGCCGTATCCCGCAAGTCTAAAATCTGATGAAATACATGTTCAACGGATGTTCATTATTTTGTTCTTTTTAATTTTGTAGATATCTGAATTACCTCTAATGTCTTAAATCCAAATCTTGTTGCAAGACTGGCATAAGCTACGCACTCGCCCAGTCGATGACACGAATCTAATCGTAATTCTTTGAGTTTCGGTATTTTGCTGATTACAAGCAACGAGTGCGGTGTGAACCATTGACAATTGCTAAGTATTAAACACTGTAAAAACAGGAGAAAATAAGTAATATTTTAAATGCCCACTGATCAAAGATTTCATAAGGCAATATGGATTACCGTTAAATTCGGCATGTGAACGTCTATCTTGAAGAAATAGGACTTGTTACTCTGTAAGTGACACATCATACTTCCTTTTAAGGAAAGCTTCTCGATCATGGTTGGAAAATCCGTTATTTGAATCTGTACAAAGAAAGTGCAGTGATATAGAAGTGCATGGCAATAACAATAGAAAAGTTTGTACTTACTTTATTACCATCGATGCAATAATCCTCAATGATGAGTTCTTTCAGCTGATTACAAACAACTTTAATGGCATTAAAGAAACTTTGACTGAGTCCCGTGAACTTTTCTGGATCCTGATTACCGCGTATGGCAAGACTGGTTGTCAATGGTTGCAGGAACTTTACGTATTTTTCGAGTTCGTGAAGTAACATGCTTCTCGATCGAAAATCAACATTGGCCCATAAAGTTCTGTCCTGAGTGACTTGATCCAATCGTTGGCAGCATCTGCGAAATTGAATATCGAAGTCAAAATTTAATCGTCACTGGGGAATTCCCCATGTAAATGCAATTCTTGTGGGCTTACGAGCTCAACGACATCAGATCCTGAGGATTCAAATACTTCATTATATTTAATAAAACGTCGTCGGACAAGTCCAACATATTTGGATGTGCCATCCTTCCGTTTGTTTGGCCATCCTCGACAATTTTTGGCCGCTTTGACTCGCTGCTGCTTGACGGCTCCGGTGATAAGGATTTGCTGCGTTTCACCATCATTCTCCGTTTGCATCTGATTGGAACAGATTAAAAGATGTAATATTAAAATAGATATTTTACTTAAAGACAAAGAAAAATAACATATTGTGTACATGTGGCAAATGGGGTGTTGATAATAATTTGGTATCTCAGATTGTTCTATCCAAACCGATTGAATTTTATTGCCGAACATCCTTAGGACTTTTTTGCTCGCGAAAACAAACGTCAGCGTCTTCCATGTGAATGGATAAACGCTTGCGTGAAAACTGCGAGAAAACTCCTAGTCTAATTTCGAACCAATGCGCATTCTCTCTTTGACTTTGGCCAAATCCCAAAAGTAGCCATATAGCCATTACTGGTTCATTATTATTTTTACGTATTTTTTTTTTCTAATTCATTCTCTTTGTTCACCGTTTTTGAAATCAACGATACCGGATTAAAATTGCAATGGTTTAAAAATATAAATATGTACATTGATTTAATATACATAGGTGTAATTGTCCGCGTAGAAAATGCTCGTCACGGATATCAAGAATAACTATTAATAACTTTTTGCGTATCGACTTGCGGAAATCTCTATTAGCAAGCTTACAATATAATATTTACAAGATTTATAGGAAAAATAATGGGGAAAAATGCAATGCCAAACAGTAACAATATTGCAATCTCTTATTTAAATTAACACTTATACAAAGTTCACATTAGTTTGTTCATTCTTGACCATAATGTACTGTATTAATAAAAATGAATATGAATATGAATGTACAGTATATATGGTTGGAATACAGTAAATATGCTTGACTAAAATCGTTTTCATTTCTGTTTAATCTCCAAATTACAAACACTGCGTCAAATACTAAATTAATTTAACATATATGCTTCAATATTTCTAATCAAGATGATACGATGATTACTGACTACAATTACATAGAAATCAAATAAATTCAAGACAATAAAGCAAAGCACAATACAATGAACCATTTGTAATTCAAAAAATGCATACAATGAAATAAACGGAGTAAAACAAGAAAATATTATGAAGTATAATTCAACGGAACATCCAAAAAATCAAGTAATAAATTTATGGCATTGAATATATCTGGTATAATCCAGCAAGGTCATTATTTAAATGGGCATTGCTCAAAATAGTATTTTCTCTAAATAACTCGTGCAATCTACGTCAAAAGTCCAGCACAACATAACCTCAAAATTATATTTTTCTCCTTAGAAACAAGATTGACAGAGCCAATGTAATAACTCCTTCTACCTGGGTCAAGAAGCATATATGAAACCCAAGAACAAGAAAACTTACTCAACAGTGTCGGACAATTGAAGAAAATCTACCGACACAACAAAGTCCTAAAAACAAAGTATACAAGTTCTTACTGAATCTGACAGCTACCAAAACGCAAACGCGATATTCTATTTTGGAAAAACACCACCCCGTACAACTGAATCAGGGGTAGCGTTTGCAATTTCCAAATTTATTATAAAAGTTCACTTCGCTGACTTTTACTTGATTATAATTAAGATCTATATCGCTTAGAAATTTTGATGCATTCTAAGAATTTTTATTAAATGTTGCTAGACACAGGATGTACAGGTCAAATCTGTTTCACCGACAGAGCCAGGGAGACCCCCCACTATAAATAGGAATAGATGGTTAACATGACATTAGTCAAATCTAGAACCTTTACAATCAAGCACATAGATGGCAGTACAATAGAAAACAAAATATTTATCGCTGTATGATATGTTACCCATCACCAGGGACTACCCTGATAAAAGCTTACAATAGGTTGATAGGTTTAATCGTCTATTGTAATAGGCAACCCGTTATACTTATTTTCTATACATACTAGTTACACTGCACTTGATATACATAATATGTATGTGCACTTGGTATACCAAAATGTAGTGTTTCAGCCGCCTCTGGAGTCGTTACGAATAGTGACAGGAGTAAATCAACGATTCAAATAGGAGGACATAACGTTACTAGTTATCTCACAGTGTGCATTTCGTTACGATATACGTAAATGAAGAAGGTATATAAACAGATAACTTGAGGAATTAGATTGAAGTTTTATCAAGATGCATGCAGAAGCCCCTCCTAGTTTTATCAATGTGCAGTTAAATATATTTTTCTATGAAGGAAAGATTGTACTATGCTCCTATGATTCACTCTTCTTGATAATAAGAATGTGTGACCCAATACTCTGATAGAATTGCCACAGTTCTATTACAGATGTCTTCATTTTTTATAGCCAAAATGTACGAGGATTCTCAGACTAAAGAACAGTGGCAGTTGCTGCAGGCACTTAGATCAACTGTTGAAGGACTATTAGTCAGTGGATTGTCCAATGTTTGGAATGTGTATGGTGGTCTTAATAGACTGCATGGTATCCTGGAACAGATATTCAAGCATGGATGTCGAGTTTTTAATCCTTTGGTAAGATATAAGATAGATCGTATTCAACAGTGTATATTTATAATTGGTATTTTTAATAAGGGTGAGCCAGACTGTTGGATCTTCATTCAGGGACTGAATTGGCTTCAACCGTCGTTGGCTACTTCACCTACAACTCAAGATTGTGATGATTACCTAGCAAATTTACCTCCTAGAATAGCTTCGCGCAAGGATATGCTTTGGCTATATAAAAGGTAATTTTCATAGTTATACCTGTAATAAAATTTCATTAGATGAGATATCAATTATTGTACGTTTTTTAGTTTGGAAAATCATACCCTGTCTAATAAGTTATCGTGGCTGCTGTCCGACAAGGAACATCTTCTTTCATGTTTAGAACCATGGGCTTTTTTGTGCCAAGAAAATTTGGCTGAGGCAACTTTAGTTTGTCTTAGGGCAGTGGAAAGAAATGAACCTGCTCTTCTTATGGAGATTGATCCTTCTTTGGTGAGATGAAATAATCTGTTTTCTTCTAAGCACTGAACATTGTGCTTTACTCAATAAAAAATTATATTCCAGTTTGTACACAATTGGGGTTTTACCAAGAATAGTCCAAAGAGACACCGTCGATCCTCTTCCTATCCAATAAATTTCTCTGGGACAAAATGGAAATTCAATAACACAGAGAATGAAACAACAGAAAAGATTCAAGTTTTTGATCTACAGCAATCTCAGCCATGCAAATCTAACGTGGATGTAGAGGTTCAAGAATATCCTTCAAAGAGATTCAGTGATAATACGTGTAACGAAACTATTGAAAAGTTAACGGATTGTGATCTATCTCTAAAAACATGGTCCAGTTTACCTACCCTTAATAAGACCAACGAATATTTCGAAGAGAGTGTCACATTGCCTTCATCTCCTGCTAAACCGTCAAACACATTGACAAGAAATAATAGGAGTTTCACCTCGGTAAACTATAAGTTGTCGAATGTAATTAAAATTGACTACTCCGAAGTAAAAAATGACGAAAGATCAAAATCAGTGGTGGATGGAAAATCTTCGAAGTGTAAAAATTCATTGCGAAAATCAAGAACCAAGGCAAAAGGTGTTCAGTGTAAAAATCCAGACAAACATTCAAACAGTGGAAGTTCTGACACACTCAATTATGAAGACACAATGAAGACGTCCAAAGAATATCTCAGAATGTCATCAAAATCTGTTGAATTGGAGACAGATAATTCACCAAAAGATTCCATTCAGATGAAAACCCAACGGAAGACCAAAAGAAAAACTTCGTTCTTGACAGGCTCCGCTCCAGAAATAACAGGACCCTGGGGTCTTGAAGTGGAAGGTCAAAAGGATGTGAGAACCCCGAAGAAGAGCTTCATGGAGGATGGCGGTAGCAGTGTACAACCAATGGCTACAGGATACTTTCCACGTCCTCTAGAAGGTCAGAGTCTCACAAGCTTCTTATCCTCAGCACGATTCGCCAGGGCGAACGCTGAACTGGACAGGGAGAACGCACATTTCAGTATTTCTGAGGCCATGATAGCTGCCATTGAGCAAGTCAAATGCAACAGGCAACTACGTCTCATCGATGAGGGCGTTGAGGAGAGCGACGAGGAGATCAACAATCTGAAACAAAGGATACGGATGAGACGTCGTCAAAGACAGGAAGAGCGTGCGAAAACTAGAGGAACCTGGTCACGTGACCTTTTGAGTGATGGCAAGACAGACAGTAAGACATATTTTGTATGAACAAGATAATTATGCTAGAAAAACATGATGTATCTTATCTGAACATTGAACATTGTTACAGCAACTACCACGGATCAGAGCATCAGTCCGTTGTCAACATCCCCAGGTACACCGTCGGACAGCATCTCAACAGACGGCGTCGAGAACATGGAGATGGCAGACGTCAGGAACATCTTGCAGATGCGTAATTCTGGTAGGTAGAAAATGTCACGATTTATCCTTCCTGGTCCTACTTGGATGGAAAGCCGTGTACTCTACAGGGATGTCAGTGTCGATGGCGTCGCTCTATTCCGAAGTTGATCTCTGCCGATCTTCTCCGAGGCACGCAGAAGACTCCACCGTTACGAAAAGTATAATATCTGCCGAGGGTGTGGCGCTATCACTCATCAGTAGATTCAGTGAGAAACAGTTGCCCAGAGCGAGCGAACTGGAATGGCTTGTTTCGGAACAAGATGCGCCACAACAGGTATAAAATTGATGGCCCTTTTTTAGATCGCAAAAGGCACAACGCAATAAATTGTTTAAAATTATTTTTTACAATCATAAAACTCTAGTTGCTGCCACTACCGAGTAGCTGGCCTATCAGCCCTGACGAAGCGGAAGTTGAGGATACAGCGCAACCGATTCCATTACGTGGTACGATGGAATGGGCACCACCCAGAGCACAAATTATATTCACACCACATCCGGCGCCAGTGTAAGTTCATTAGGTAATACAATATGAATTAAAAAATGTCATTATTACATGTTTTATGTCGCAGGAAGAAAATTCTCATAGCCAAGCAAAACTACAGATGTGCCGGTTGTGGTATGAAAGTCGCCGTGGAATATTCCAATAGATTTCGCTATTGCGAATATCTAGGAAGATACTTTTGCACTGGATGTCATACGAATCAAGTGGCGCTGATACCCGGAAAGATTCTTTCCAAGTGGGACTTCAATAGGTATCACAAGAAAAACTTTGTAGTATATTGACAAGACGTGAATGACAAAAATTTTAAATGGTAATATCATTTCCAGATATCCAGTCTCGAATTTTTCATACAGATTACTCGATCAAATGACAGTGGATCCATTGTTTCAAGTGAATGATCTTAATCCATCTCTCTATAGGAGAGTGAAGCAGCTTGAGCGCACGCGTATACTTCGCACACAGTTGTATTTTCTAAAGGATTTCATGTTGACTTGTAGATTCGCCACAAGGTACTTCTTACTGCCTATTCATTAATGTCTACGGTGATACTCTTCAGGATTCAAAAGCATTATCTATTCTCTCTCGCCAGACTTCAAGAAGACTTGAGAAGGGAACCTCAGTATATACTGAACGATTGTCACGTTTATTCCATACAAGATTTTCTCCAAGTGAAAATGGGTTCTTTGCCAGAGAAATTACGTGACCTAGTACAGGCTTGCTGCTCTCATGTTCTTCAATGTGAAGTAAGTGTAAAAGATGTGCCTTTAAGTTAAAATTAAATTCGTATTCTTATTGAAAATCTTCTTTGACCGATGTCAGCTCTGTCAAGCGAGGGGTTTCGTTTGTGAATTGTGCTGTTGCAAGGAACCCATATTTCCATGGCAACTGACAAAAGTCACAAGATGCGACGATTGCGGCGCCTGTTTTCATGCACGTTGCAAAGACGCTAAATCTACAAGCGTCGAGTGCCGAAGGTGCTTGCGTCTACGAGCTAGACGCCTGTCCAGAGAAGAGACGCCAGCGTCGTGACATACGGACGTCTAGAAGAAGAATGGCTTGGTTGCCGTTTAGAGAATCGATTACGCTTCTGATAGATACTTTGTACATGATGAAGCTATCAAGATTGTTAGAGAAGGACGTCGCGACGCATCCGAAAATTAATATACAAATTTATTAAACGTAAATTTCGATATACGATAAGATTAATAACTGGTGTTCAAATAACCAGAGTACCTGCCTTCGATGAATTTGTAATTAAATAGAAAGTGTTATCCATTGTTAATCTATTGAAATTTGTTCCGTATACAAAAGTTTCTAATAAACAATTAACACAAACAATTTTTTTACTTTCAACGATTCCTTACACGCATTTCAAGATCAAGACAAACACAATTGCACATCATGATTTTATTATTTAAATTAGAATCTCGCTTATAATGGTTCACATACACACGTCATATAAAATAGTGGACAATACATTCACTAATGGTAAAAAAAATACATTATTACTATAACACTATTTACACCAGTTAATTTCATGTAATTGCATCGTGAATACACGTGTGCGATTATACTCAATCCTAATAGTTCGTTCTTTTATTCTAAAATTCTTTGCGTTTTCGGATTTTATTGCTCCTGGAATTGCATGGAAACTCTTAACAGCGCAATAGTGAATCTCACGGATTGGGTTACGTCATATTTCTCGTGTACCGTTGCGGTATGCCATTTGTGTACGGACAAAAAATTATATCACAGACAGTATCTTCGTAGCTGTTGGCTGTTATTGTTGGATTGTATTTAATTGTACATGAATTTACTAAATCTATGCCAATGGCAGGTGCTAACGATAAGCAAATACAAGGCTGACAGACAAAAGGATCTGACAATTGAGCTACAAAATGTAAATCTTCATTCCTATTCTTTAGTTTCAAGATCTTTGTTCAAAATGTAAACGTCTTTCATACAATTTTTGAGGCCCAATTTCATCTCAGCACATTGTCAAGTTCTAACTCTCTCAGTATCAGGCACCGCATAGTTCCTTTTCCTTTGTTCTGCCGACACTTTAACGTATGCACGTACATATGTATATGTACTTTGATTCAATCGATGGTGCTATGGAAAGTGAATAGAATGTCTATCTTCTTTAATAATAATTTCACTAGCACGTTGATTTTATGCCATTATGCTCATGCTCATTTAAAAGAGTTTCCGTGCCAGTGCTATAATGCTTACCATCATTATCATCATCAGTCTGTATAAAGTGCAACAATAATGCATAACAATGCGCCACACTCTTAACAAGATATACATACGAGGATCAGATACAGACGAGTCGATTCCCGTCTATCACTTTCGATTCTTATCACTTTACGTACGTTATTACGTTGTAACGGCAGTGAAGAAAAAGAAAACAAGAAAGAAACAAAAACCCGTTATAACGAACCAACTGCTGATCCATCAATACGGCAATAGAATCGTTAAATTTTTTTGTTTCGTTACAATAACGATATAGCCATTGCTCCGTTGTTGTGGAATAGAAAAAGCGTGGCGCTAAAATAAATTTCTCAACAAAAAAGGAAAAAAAAAATAAAAGAGAAGGAGAGATAGAATGAGATAGATAAAAGAGAGAAAAAAAAATATAAAAATAACTTACAAATACTGAGATAGTAGAGAATGGCATTGGTAATATTTGTAGACATATAAATAGATTAAAAAAAAATTCTATCGGCCGATTTCACCGATTAGTTACCATTAAAAACAGGTGTAATAATATGCATTGTTATTAATAGAGTCGCGATGTCGAGCATCGAAGTCATGAGTTATGGCTAAAGGAATTTATCATTTTAAAATGTCTTTTGATCATTTCTTATCGAAGTTGATGATCGTGCACTTTCCCAAAATGAGAATCGGAACACTACCTTAAACCAGTACTCCGATCGATCCGTTCGCACCTTAGGTCACAATTAAATGTAAGTGAACATCCACGGACTATCGCACTTAGCGTATTTGGCACAGCCCGCCCGGACAGAAATCATCAGCCATGCGTCTATCTATTATGATAACGTTACTTACGTACTTGTTTTATATTTGTAGTTTAACTATATATCTAATACTTCTTTGAGTGGCACCTTTGCTACCTCGAAGAATATTCTGAAATATAGAGCAGACGGTTGTCTTGTATGTATTCATTTTTAATTTCGGCTATTTAATGGTCACTTTTACTCACTTATGGCTGTATTTATTTCGAACCGTCGCCAGAGCATCCTTGTGCTTTCGGTGTAATCCCTGATTTAAAACATTAACAATGTCCCTTATGTCATCGACCGTAAAGCCGGTGTAATACTCCAAGGTAGAAGTCCAGCCGCCTAGGTCCTTCATTTGTAACGCGAGCAAAAGCGCGGCAGCGGCCATCTTGCTATCGCTGAACATGATTGTCGAATAATCCATCAGCGAGTATTCCAGGATGTAGCGTGCCAACGTGAGAGTGGGCATGGAGACCTTCGCGCACTGTACACAATAATTAGAGATTAAGTACTGATGACGGAGTTGCTGTAGATGATCTAGGTTAGCATCCACGAACCCTGGCGTATCTTCTTAGGAACCTATATGAGAGCGGAATTCCAAGATCAAAGTCAACTATTTTCAAGACATTCATTTCCATTCTGATGAGCTCTCGCCGCGTATAAGCGCCATCGCATATGTACAAAAAGTCTTCGACCATGGGCGGAATTCTCTCCTGTACAAAAGACAAGCTTACAGAATCACAAATATTTTTTGAGAACTCCATACAAGTGCCGGTGAGGTACCCACGTCGAATTTACTGGCGATAAATAAACTGGCCGCTCCCAAAAGCTGCAACGTTTCCTTGCCGACAGTGACTTTAGTAAGGTAGAGATCGACCAGCTTGACCGCCAGGTACAAGGTCTCGTGATTCAACTCAAAAGACTCCTGCACCTCGACCATCCAGTCGACCAGTAGCGACCTCATCCATCGCGATAGGCACACTTGTCTCTCCATATAATCACCAATTGGGAAGAGAGATTCTCGACTTTTGAGATAATTGAAAATCTCCATGGCGTACTGCGAGACCTGATACGGATCGGACCAGTTCTCTGCGTCGAAGTCCCACTGAACTCCTGAGGGTAGCTCCCTGTCAGGAACTGCATCTAACCTGGCGGCAATCGACGACGTTGGTTCTGGTGAAGTCTCCGCCAATTTAAACGTCTCTTCAGTGTCTTTCTCATTCTTCTCCTTGCTCACGTCCGACTGCAAACACGTACCGTTCTTTTTTCACATCCTTTGTGTGTCCAGCATGGCTGGCATGATTTAAATCATGTATTTTTTTTTGTAAATTTTCAATCAAAAATACAGAAGCACAGTACAAGTGACAAATGACGGGAGCAATTTGTTTAAGTAAAATGTTACTTACCTTTTCCGTAACCTTGTCACTAAGCTTTGTAGACTTCTTGGCACTGTCTTCGGGCACTTCCTCTAAGGCACTTACATACAAAGAACTGTCCTCTGACTTTTCCAAATCTAAACTGCGCCGTAAGTTCACGATTTTACTAGAGATTTCAGGCTTTTCTTCGTCTTTTTTCACTGGCTTTGCGCGAGGTGCCAGTCTCAATTTACCAGGTAACACAGCCTCAGGTTTAATTACAATTTTATCTAACGTCCGAACTGTATTTGTTTGGGGTACTGGTTTCACATGCGTTATTTGACTGGCCTTCTTCACACCTTTCTTGTTATCGTGCAATTGTCCACCCAGTGTTTTTCCAATGGCCTGTAAAAAATATAATAAAACTGATTATTCCAAAACTTTTGGATGCCTATGTATTAGAATGGGGTAACTTACATTGGTAATATTTCCCAATGCTGATCTTTTGGTGGTTTTTTCCTTGGGTGGGGAAGCATCAGCCTTTCTCTTGATCCTAGGATCCTTGGTGAGGACTGCTTGCTTTGTCGCTTGATTAAGCAAAGCATTGTGACTTCTAGTGGTGATCCTCTTTTGCGGAACAATCCCATTACCATTTTGTTTATTCTGGTTGTTTAATACTTTAGTAGGTGCCATCCTTATGAAATACTTAAGAAAAAGTATCCCTTGCCCTCTTTGTTGTTCTCTGAAAATCATAAAAAATGGTCCAATTATTTATACATCTTATACATATACGTGTGTGTGAATATCGTTGCGTAACACTATCACGTGAAAGTCCTGCTCGACCCGCAATTGGATTAGTATATTCACAAAATCCTGCTGCTGGTATCAAATTCAGCAGTGTATGCATCACGATACTCACGTGAAAGCTGTTTATAAATCCGACGAAATATGTTTCCAAAAATGTCTCAATAATACCCAGCTAAACATGCTGAAGAAGTGACACGTTGCAGCCGCGTAAGTTTCACTCAAAAATCATGAGAAACTTCGAAGTTTCCTAATCGAAGTATAACAAGGCGTCTCGTGAACTCCATAACTGTATAGAAGAAAAACGCGGGAACACATGTGCGAATAATTTTATAAAATTTTTGGAACAGCAACAGGGCGCAACGAAAGTATGATATATCGAGAGAAATTTCTAATACATTAATCTCTTTGAAGGATGTTAAATATAAACAAGCCTAAATTCCACGAGCCAACGTGAGAAGCCACCATTTTCATGACCCCAAAACAATCACTGGTTCTCGCCAAAAGAAAAAAGGCCACATTATTATCAATAAACTCATTAAATCCAAGGAGAACACGTATTCTTGGAGTTACCTGCGGATTTAGTAAGTGGTCTTTTCTGTTCCAAGACGACGATTTCTTTCATTTATAACTCATTTACCACCGGTACGTTAGTTCACTTTCCATTCGCTTTACGAGAACAACTGAAGTTGACGCTAGTTCAAAATATCACAGTTACAGCTAAGACGCTGTCTGGTTGGCTGTCAGATCCACAGCAACGACCAATCAATGTACAGATATCATATCTCCGGCCCCCTAGCTTATACACGACGAACTAACCAACGTCAGTTTCTCCGTAATCTTTGCCATTGGCCGCGTTGACCGTTTACAATGGACGATCTTGTAGCTGCTAAAATTTCTTCTTCCAAATATTAACGTATGTATTCCGACTCAGGGACCATGAAAAAACTAGCAAAGCGATCAGCATGAGTCTACGACGTTACGTTTTAAAGATACTTTGCACTCATGGCGATTTCGCAAGTTAACAACATCGTAGCTTTATAGATTTTTCTTATACATAAAAAATAAAATTTTCCAAGGACCTATGACCCTTTAGTGTAAGGAACAGGATACCGTAATGGCAGTCATCGGTTGACATGAGAATCGTACAAAGTCTTCCACCCTCATTGAATTCCGTAGTCTAAGCAAGTTAACGGCATTTTACGCTTTTTTACCTTTCTCGAGAAGATATCTCCGTCTCGTGCGCGACTAGGTCGAAAGTTTATCGTTCATTTTGACCGAAGGCGACTTGTCGCTTACACCGAAATTTTCGCGACGTGTGCCAAACCTCCAAAGGATGCAGGACGAACGTTTTACTGTGAAGTACACGACGGTACAGACTTGCTTCGCTTATCTGCCGGACGCGTGGTTACGCAGCTTGGCGACAAAGGTATGTTCCTCTACTGATTCGTTTAACTCGGTCATCGTGTCAGTAATGTTACGTAAAGATATGTTACCTACGAATCTGTGCATTGCCGCGCATTGCCACCGACGGATGGTATTTTATTGATTTTACCAAGAGATGATATTACGATGACCATCCGCGTGAACCTGGATGCCATCTATGAGGCTGTACTAGGGAACGTCGGTAAAGTAGATTAATGCACAGTGTAATATTTTGACCATTGTTGTATAATTGATAGTAGCCCTCATGAATTGAGATATTGCAGGTTTCTTAACAATATTTCATAATTTTTGTATTTCGATAATGCAAATTATTTCGATCAATTGTAAGGATGTCGGCAATGGACAAAAAATAACATTACGCGTTGGTCTGCGTGTGGAAATTTTTTTTCATTTCGATATTTCATTCGATGCATCAGATTTTGAGAAGCGATGAGTAGCGCTTTTCCAAATGTTCATAAAACTTGTAGGCAAACGTAATGAAGATATGTCACAAAGGTATCGATTATTATCTGTCCTGGCACTGGAAGCCTAGCCCGGACAATAATTTAAACCTTAGTGCAACTTTTGCACGAACGCTTGGTATCAAGGAGGACGAAGAGGTTTTGGTTTCTTGTATTCCTCAACCCGGATCTTTGAGAAGTCTAGTGGTTACTCCGAAAAATTCGGACGACTGGGAAATCGTGGTAGGTGACAATAGCAGCTATCACCTTAGTCCGCTCTGATAAAAATATTAGTAACACGTAAAGTCGAGTTGGATTTTAATTAATTAATATATTAATTTATTCCCATGAAAACTTTATAGGATCTCCAAAGTAATAGGATACAATCGACTCTGTTAGATCAGATCAATATAGTTGCCAGGAACCAGCCACTAATTGTATGGGTATCTAAATCCTTTAATGTAACATTACTAGTAGGTAAGTACTAAATACCTCCCTTAAACCTTATATTCTGACACGTAATCGTATAGTAATAGAATTAATTTTTCTTTAGAATCATTGGAACCAAATTTTCAATATGGAAAACTCGAGCAATTCACAGAGATCATTGTATCCGCGCCAAAGAGAGAGATCACGGCATCTTCGTCCGAGACCCAGGATAATCCTGCTGGCTCAAGCAGATTTGCTTTCTGGAATATTCTAAGAAATTGGCTTCCTCCTGTTGCTGAAAAGTCAGCTACAGAGATTGCGCAAGACACTCAAAACGAGCTGAACGAATACCGTGCTAAATCCTCACCAGAAATAATGCGTGTTCTCGAATTGCCAAAGAGCAGAGAAGAATTGATAATTACTCCATTTAATTTGGCATTGCTGCAGCCGTTTTGCGTATACGTACGTAGACGATATCTATCTAAAGATCTGGCAAAGGATGATATCTGCAAAATACGAAAGGTCAAAGAGGATCGGCAGTTCGTGAAAGTGACCAATACGAATTTTCTGAGGGGTGGTACATCTGCAGTACCTAGAGAATCTTCCGAGCTTGTAGTGAAACTGAAGATCCTTGAAGATCTTCTCGAGATCTGTTCGAAGGAGACACAAAAGTTGCACTTTGCCAATAGCTTAGTGCATCCTAGCATATACATGTCCAGAAACCTTAGACTGAACCTGGAACTAAAGCTAGGTGCTAAAGTTATTCTAGAACCTTTGGATGTACCTGGAACAAACGTCCCGCCTACAGGAATTGATATATTTCCTTATGAGAATAATCTAGTGACTTTGGAATCCTTTGAGTCCTATGTACGAGCACGTTCTGGATCCGAGGGAGTCCTGCTGAATACCTGCTCGACATTAATCCTCGAGGATCAAGACGATCAGAAAGAATATCGTTGCATCGTTCGATTTTTACCTCAGGATTGTCGTTACGTTCTACTTGATGATATTTCCCTGAAACATTTAACCGTGCAGGTTAAGGACGAAACAGTAAAACCGGCTAATGAACTCATTAACGAATCCAGTCAGATTGATAATCTTGGTCATAACAACGTACCTTTAAAGTATGTAGTTAATCATATATCATCATATTTCAGTTAAGATGATAAACCGATCTCATTATTTTCAGAGGCCTGGAAATCATCCTCAGGGAGTGTCGTATCAGTCTAGATCTGAGTCTAGGACTGACTCCAATTTCATTGGATTTTTCCTATGACCGTGAGAATGTTATAATATGTGGTCCAGCTGGTGTAGGTAAGACCACTCTATGTCAGATTCTCGGAGACGATCTACGTGGTGCACCAAATTTCGTGCATACTCGGTACACCGATTGTAAATCATTAAAAGGTATATTCAATTCAGTCGCTTCAAACTTAAAATACCTGATTGATGATTTTCTTTAGCATAATCATTTATTCATAGGCAAAAAGGCGGAAATGTTACATAAGATTATATTACCGGCTATTATTGAGTGCGCTTATCACCAGCCCTCTATTCTGTTTCTCGACGACCTGGACAGCATAACCAGCACCTCCTCTAATGAGGAAGAGAATACACCGGACGCGATCAATGCTGCTAGGTAATTCAAAGTTGATTGTGTACCTGATTAATATTACATTGTTTGTTCTAATACGAATGATTATTATTTTTGCTATTAACTTAGGATAACTGATATGCTTATTAACATAATGAGCGAGTACCAGAGGTCGTACTACATATCCGTTGTAGCGACTTGTACCGATCTGAACAAAGTAAATCAGAGATTGCGTGCACCGCGAGGTGTCCATTTGTTCCGTACAATTTTAAGAATACCACTATTGGAAAAGGTTAGTTGATCCTTGTTCTGACTCTTAAGTTACCTTATATGAATCCAAGAGGCTGATGGGGTAATTTTGGTTTGCTCATTCAGGAAGACAGAATCAACCTGATGAAGAGCATATTGGAAAAAAAGTTAAAAGTCTCCGATGAGATTGACTGGGATGCTTGTGGTACTAAAACAGAAGGCTGGGTGATCCAGGACCTGGTGGACGTGGCCGAGAAGGCTGCATTCGCGGCATGGAAACGTCACGGTAGGATGTTCTTTGATTATTCTCGTTAGGACAATCAAGGATCTTAATGATCTATAGTGAAGGGTAAGCTGGGACCTCCACCGGTGAAGCTTCTCGAAGAAGATCTTACGACGAGTTTGACAAACTCCAAGCCGATGGCTTTGCACGGAGTTAATCTCTACAAAGGCGAAGGACATTCCTGGTCCGATATAGGTGGTTTATCGGATGCTAAACGCTCTTTGATCGAACTACTTCAATGGCCCTTGAAGTATCCGCAGATCTTCAAAAACGCACCGATCAAACAGCAGAGCGGTGTTCTTCTTTATGGCATGCCAGGAACTGGGAAGACCATGCTTGCAAGCGCCATTGCGAAGGAGTGCGGCTTGAACCTAATCAGTGTCAAGGTCTTGCGAAATGATCCTGGGTAAAATGTAATATTGAATACAGATGGTAATAGTATCTTTTTTCTCTCTCAGGGTCCTGAACTGTTGTCTAAGTACATAGGCGCTAGTGAGGAGTCTGTAAGAAATATTTTTGAGAAGTGAGTATTTCAATTTGAATCTAATAACAGACGATCATATTTCATTGCAATAATTTAATATTTTAGAGCAGAACGCGCCAAGCCATGCGTCCTCTTCTTCGACGAATTCGACAGTCTAGCTCCAAGGTAAATACTGACAATGATAGCGAGGCTTTCTATCAGTGAATAATTTGATAACCGTCTGGTTTAGACGAGGCCACGATAGCACAGGTGTGACGGACCGTGTAGTAAATCAATTACTGACTCAACTGGATGGAGTGGAAGGTAGAGAAGGAGTTGCAGTGGTAGCAGCCTCCTCAAGACCAGATCTCTTGGACCCTGCACTTTTGAGACCAGGTCGTCTGGACAAATCTCTTCTATGCTCCTTACCCACTGAGGTAATCAATTAAATAGACACATACTCAATTTATCATACAGACTTTCAAAATAACACACAATCCTTATAGTCCGAACGTGAAGAAATACTAATTGCCTTGTGCAAGGCGCAAGGGGTGCAAGTCCAGGACCTTCAGACAAAGGAACTTGCAGAATTGTCCGAGGGTTTCACGGGTGCAGATTTAAACGCTGCCATTAATCAGGCAAGATTATCAGCAATCGAGGAAGCCCTGGCGGTAAGAAAGTACAAAGTTCGTTAAGCCAACGAAGAAAGTTGTTAACCAGGCACGTTAGTCAGCCGACTGTTCCATCTTTAATGAAAGGCATTTCGCAGAATCCTCGAGAATCGTTTATACGGAGTTTTCCGAAGCAAGATACTGCGTAACGATGACAATATCATTAGCTAGCTTATAGAGCGCTGGTGCTTACAGCAGTAGAAGTAGCTACGGAGAGGCACTGCCGGGTTGAGTGGAATTTGAGGGTGGCGCAATAGCGGCTATACCTTGTAGCGGCTAGGTAGGGTAGCAAGGATCAGTATACGGTATAGGTGGTACTATAGATAAACGTAGATGGTGCGGCTAGGTGTGTAATGTAACTGGGGAAACGTAGCAAGGTTTATTAGCACACGCTAAGCACATCTCATCCCATCTCGTTCCACTTGATCTCGGTCCATGGATCACTGAGCTTTCAGGAGGGTTATTATCTTATGCGATCTAACGGATGCGCGACATAGGGTTGCACCCTCTCTCTTACTCTTTTTCATACTGAACGAATCAGAGCTATAGGAAAGCTATTAGGACCTGGTGAATGAGCGCTTTTGAGAATACAAAGGAAGTACACACCTGGGGATATAATTTTAAAGCTTTGGATCGGATTTTATTAGCACGTAACCTATACTGCTTTTGGTATCAATTATTCTGTTAAATCCCTGTGTATGATTGTAGACTGGACAAACCGACCTGGAGGGTGTTAATCTTACTCAGAAGGACCTGGTGGAATCCCTCAGAACGACCCATCCGTCGTTGTCTGCCTCCGAGAAGAACAAGTATACCAGAATGTGAGTGTTTAAGTTTTTAAATGGAGCTGTTGAGTGGTTAAATAAATTGCTGTTTTTTTTTTCATTAGATATGCAAGGTTCAGTCAAGGGGACAGCGTTGCCGAGGACTTGACCAAAAACCAGAGAGCCACTTTGGCGTAAAGGCACGTCGAGGAGTATGGGGATGACTGGAGGGATAACAACGTGGAATACTGGATGTACATACACGGTGTTCCTAATTGGGAAGCTAGTATCGAATAGGAGCTAAGCGTCATTATAACTAAGCATAATCCGTGCGCCGACAGTTTACACTTGGTTTCTCGTGGAAACTTGGAGCGTTAACAAGGATGGCAGGTCGGGTTCCTCCAGAGCGGCATAAACTTTTCGTATTAATAATCGGTATAATAATTAGTATTTTCACGCGCGACTTAGCAGGAAGGATGCCGGCGCTCGCGCGAGAGAGGCAACTTGGCTGATCTTGATTTTAAGTTCTGCCATAAGGAGGGCATATTTCAACGGCGCTAATGTCTCGCCAGATAAACTACAATATTAGCTGACTTCGCTATGACTTAATTTAACTTCGCCTGGAGCGACATCCGGTTCCCTTTCGGGAGACTCCTAGCCAATCGTAGCCTAAGTCACCTATCTAATACAAACTATGTAATACGTAGCCTCTATGAAATAATACATATGAAACGATCGACCAATGGGCACATTGGATTCTACTGGTACCTCTAGCAAGATCAGGAAGAGACTCCATGGTCTTCCTTTACTCAATGTTCAAAGGTGACACGAACCTTTTTTTTTCCTGGGACGCAAACGAAATCTTTTTATAAAGTGTATAATCCTATTTACCCTCGTGGAGACTTTTAAAGACGCTCAATTATTCTGGAAGTATTAGGCGACATTCAAGCCTTGAGAAATCATGCCGACATTGTCGCACTCCTCGTCCTCGAGGAATGCAGGGGTTAAAGGGGAGCAGAAGGGGGAAACGAGATGAGGATGTATAGAGGAAAAATGGAGAAGAGCATAAGAAAGGCAGAAGAGGCAAAGCATAGAATTCGGCATTGCTCTCGAGGAGTGTGAAGTGAATCGCGAGTCAACTTGACTGTAATCCGATTAACTTGGCAAGAAACGGTAATCAGGGATAAAAATGCGCCGACTAGCGGTATTTACGCTAACTAATGTCCTTCAACCCGCTAACCGAGTTAGCCGTGGGTTTTCGCGCGGCAGTTTGTTAGTCGGATAATTGGCCATTTTTATGCTAAAGACGTTCGCATGAACACGAACGAAGAACGTCATAGACGTCGCCGTCGACGCCTCCTTGTCTCCCAGCCGTCTACACGTGCGCACTAGCATCCTGGTTACTACAAGATAACGCCACATTTACGCTACGCCACGGGAGTAAGACGATTATTAAATGTCGGAAATGTATTTCACGCTAACCGAAATATTACCCAACCCTAACCTCTCTTCATTCTCTTCAGCCCTCGAGAACTACCTAAAATCATCCCTTCCGTAGTCTCCGTGTTTTTTCTTCTGCCATGGACAAATACTACCCCACTAGGGGTTATGCGTATTGGTGTGTGATTGAAATGACAAAAAAATAAAGACATGTATAATATACAGAACACGCTTCTATGAAGATTTTTAGTGGTTACTGTACTTCACGTAAAAAAACTCCAGCGAGAAACAATAAGGGTAAGATCCATCTGTCAGTTTCACAGGCAATTATGCTCAGGCCTCAACGAGAACGAGGCTACAGTTTGGGGCGTCGCGAGAGCTCGTAGGGGCTGTCGAGGGTCAGGGGGCGCGACGAGGGTTACTCTCTTATTTAACGCCAATGTGCGCCTAGCACACGCTTGGACGATCCGCGGCGAGATCCTATTTGCACGAAATTGTCAATGATAGAATGGCAGATTGAAAACTCCACAGTTAAAAGATCATAGCGTACCCAGCGCCACCGCGGCAATTCTTCGCAACAGAATGTACGAGCGTTTACATGTACTACGTGCACGCTTCACGGTTCGACATCCAGCACCCTTTACCAAGAATATCCAGGGGATTATGTCAGAGTGGTTAAATTGCGTTTCAAGAGTATCCACGTGCTAAAGGTTAATCGAAGAAATAGCATTTCTTTTGTTTATCTAAGCTAGCGACAATCGAGTTAACCATCTCTGGTCAGTGCTTTCTTTTCATTCTATGGGGATGAGACTTGACTGATGGAATGGAGTGGTCTATCGGAGTAGGAGTTAACGCTCTGTGACGATATTGTAATGTAAACTGGAAGCCATAGATCTTGACGACGGGTGAAGGGTCAACTCCAGGAACAATTTCATCCCGGTTCAATTACAATAGTTTCTGAACCCGTTCCAGCTTCCTCGTTAAATTTCACTCAGGTTCTATAGTACTCTAAACATTTTGCAATTTCTACGTCTATTATGGTTCATCATTTTTGCTTCTATTTAATTCTCCTCAGTCTCTGTCCTCCCGTATCTCGCATCAGACAGCCCGTGGAGCGTCTCTCGATCTCGACGCGATATTTACGAGGCGTCGAGGCGCGATTAACGCTGTTTGCCGCAATTTCTTGTTTCCATTAGGTCGGCCCGGCCTCCGGGGTAGATTCCCTCCCCAGAGCGTTGCGCAACTTCGCCAGCGTTGCCCTGGCAAATGGCGTGACAACCATGTCCTCAGTACAGGAGATGAAATGACGCGCGTCAGCGCCCACAATAACCTCCAGCGTCCTGGCCTCATCTCATTTTGCTAGCCCTTTCGTGCCCTTTGGCCATAACCTGAGTGAACGTACACCATCGGGATTCGTATCTCAAAACCGGAAACGCAACAGTCAGATATCCTGCGTGCTCTCGCTCTCACATAACCTTGATTATTTTTTCTGGACCAGGTTCGACCAAATACGTATTTAAGAGCTACGGATCCTGGCTTCCCTAGGTCCTGGATCCTGGAACTACAAAACCCGGGACACGAATGCCTGCTTGGAAATACGATTTCGAGTACAAAGTCGCAAGGCTTTTGAAGGGTATACGTGCGCGACTAAGCTCCTCAAAGGCCCGCCACTGAGTCCAAGTCCCTTTGACTTGGTCCATGTATAGTCCAATTTGTATTCGAGCGGGTTATTCTCTTCCTCCGTTTACGTGGACGAGGGGAGAAGACTTGGATCTGCAACCGGAAGTTGATACCAATGTAAAATAATCGATTCGAGGGTTGCATCTTATGTACGTATACATATACTTGACATAGAGATAAGAAATGAATACTCGAGTCGAGTTTCTTTTATTTTTTTACCATTTTAGTTTGACTTTTTTTTTACTTTCTCGTTTTTACTCTTTTACTTCTAGCCAGCTTCTTCACCTTCCTCATCCTCTTTGGCTCGCTGAATAATCTATCTTAAATAAGCCGGAGGCGCAGGGTCCTCGGCGACCGCGACTTCCCGAGCAATCTTCGCGACGATTCAATTACCACGACGCAGTACGCTCGATTTAAAAGTTGCCGTCGCCCGAGAAACGGGATGCTGCGACTGGAACTTCTCGGGGATTCCCCCCTTTTTTTTTCTTTGACGTTCCTTACTTGCCCTTTTTAAAAATTACTTTCGACTCAACTGCCTTCGCAGAGAGACATTCGCAGCGGGGTAAACGTTTGAGGGACATAAGGATCTTGTCGAGTGTATTAACCAATGCGGTGATATCTCTCTTTCTGATCGAAACATATATATACGTGCTATACTATATCACAGAGGGAAATACCCTAGGGAGAATCCTCATGGGAGTTTTTGTCAGCGAAAACCCGGCAAGCTATAGGGGGCGCGCGCGACAAATCCTTCCATTGTGTCGCCGGGCGATATTGCATTAATAGGTATGTATGCGTATGCTTCGAATGCATCGGTGCATGGTTTTCGAGAAAGCATCTTTTCATCTCTTTCTACGAAACTTTAAGAAACTGCATTATTTTTTATCTCAAGAATCCATATCATCTTATTTTCATTTTTTTTTCGCATATTATAGAAACAAAATTTATCAGAACCCTCAACACTCTTTTCTTTCGTCAGGAAGTCAACGGAGGTTTGAAAATGAAAAAAAAAAGAGACATCGAAAAAAAAACGGACTCGAACCCAATGCAGATAAACGAAAGGGACCGCGAATGGGAAATAAGCTAAGTATATGCGAAACGAAAGAAGAGTTTCGAAGTAACGATACGTTTTGAAATATCACGATAAGCCGGAATGTGGATTGCCATAGGAAATAAAATCGATCGTCGCATGCTGTGCGAAAAAAAAGAGAGAAGTAGATGGAGTCTAAGAGAGCGTCAGAGAGAGACAGGAAGATAGAGAGAGCAATAGCAACAGCCGGAACAGTATAGAGGAGAATGGTCGATGCTCTGGAGAGAAAGAGAGAGAAGGGATAACGCGATTCGCACGGAGTCACGTAGTATTTTCGAAAATATCAATTTGAAACAGCCATGGGTATGCGTCATACTTTTCGCGAGTCATAATGGCCGGCTTTCCATTTTTATTTATATTGCGCCAAGCAGCGTAGAGAACCACCCAAACTGTATATATCCTATATCGTCTCGTTCGGTTTTATATCAGCCGGTAGCCGGCGAAGGGACACGAAGAGTGCCGAAGGCTAAGTAGCCCGAGAATTCAATATTTTACGACATTTTGTTTCCAATCTTGCGAGAGCCGAGGACCTCGCTCCCGGAAATGCCAGCATTATATCCCACTATCGCTTGACTTTTATTGCTTTAAGTCCAGTGACAGAGTGCTATACCTTGAATACTTGCAGCTTCCGGAATCAGCTTCTCCTCGCGGAGCGTCTACCGATGGATTTTCAAGGAGCAACTCACAGAAGGGAGTCCTTACGTGCACGAGGTCAAAGTTCACGTAGATTCTACTTGACGGAGGGTCGCACCCAACTGGATGGGGTAGAATTTCTCTAAACAGCCGAAGTCTTCATCTTGGACGAAGACCGGAAGTGCCGCATAGACGTCAAACCAGGGGACCAATGGGGCGACCCCCCCTCCCCCCCTCCCTCCTTTTTTCGGTTTTTCAATTTCGCATAATGTCCAGTATGGTCTAGCGGGCATCTTGCAAACTGTCCCCACGATAAGATAACTTCGGCCAAAGCGAGGGAATTTACGCCCGGCATAAGTTAACCTTATATATGAGCGTCCACCGGAAATGTGATGATCCTATCGACACCGTTCGCCAATCCTTACGTTGATATGTAGCCACATAGTATTTTTCCCCATTTACCATATATATATAGCTCATACGCTTCAGGAAGTTCCAAACACAGAAGAAGAGTTTATAACAAGTTCACAAATAATTTTTGAAAATTTTCAAAATTTTCAAAATTACAACTACCCGACGATTTTCCCATGAAAATAAATTCCGGGCAAATTTCGAATGTTACCCAGAATAATTTACCCGTTCGTATACATATACCAGCTCGTTCATATATTTTCTATGTGATTCTACTAGTCAGGTGTATACACACACAATTTTTCGAAATGACCTAAACCGGAAGTCATGTTGGTCCCACGACCTAGTTGGGTAGCGGAACGCTTTTCCAGTTGATATCAGTGAGAGCGAGCGAGACCAACGAAGATGTGCATGTAGTAGGTGAATGGGTGCGGGTGTGTTGATCGACGGGGGGTGGCAGGAGGGGGAGGGGCATGAGGATGAGAGATGCAGCTCGAATACACGGTTATAACGAAAATGCGCGAATTGTCTCTAGCGCGGCCTGAAATAACAATAAGAGCATTGAGCGTCGAGGCATTTGACAGTGGGGTCGGAAACAATGAAACAATCAGCCGACTGCCGGCACACCGGGACCGGAAGTCAACACTGCCGGACAATACCGGCAGCGTCTGACTACCGCTGCTAATTAACCAAGTTCGTCAACTTAGCATAGACTTGGCGACCTAGCTAGAGAGACCTTTTGGAAGGAAACAGCCCTATTCGACGTGACAACCTTTAGGTATAGCAATGAAAGCTCTTCTGTACGCGATTTCGGATCCGGAACGAGCTTAGCTTTATTATCGTGTCCATTGTCTTATTTTTCTCTTCTTTTGTCTTTGTTTCACTCGCTTGCCTTCATTATATTTTTCATCAAAGACATATTCGTTCGGAACGGGAATACAGCTTTTACAACTGTGATACAGCGATCTCAAAAAGTCACCATTTTGAGTTTTTATGGAGTGAAAAAATCGAGGAAAGAATTCCCGATGTCTAATTTCGAATCGTAAATTTTGACCGATTCGAGAAAATTTTTCGAGCTTTGCTATACCTGCCGTGAGTGCGAGAGAGACAGACAGATGGGTACTTAGGCGCGTTAGATAAGGACGAACGTTATCGACAAGGCTAACCCCTTTGCAAAAATTCATGAGCTACGGATACAATTTTAAGTTGTCTCTCAAATGACTTAATACGACAGCTGATTCAATAATAGTCAGTTTTTTGAACAAATTTTGATACGTACTTTAAATTTCGGAATTACATCTTTACAGCTTCTTTTTCTATTTAAGCTCTCTCAGTGACAATGGAACAAGTACTCGTTGTCAGGAATGCTCAGTTTGTTCCGACGTTCACCGAAAGATGATGTACCCGTCGGATTCAGTCTCCCATCTTTTTTTATCTTGTTCCTGTTTCATCCCCCGCCTTCCCCGTCTAGGTACACAGAGCGTCAACGTTATCGTTCGCCTTTCACTTTTTTTTTTTATCATTCGCATAATCGGATAGTCGGAGGGCGCACTAGGCGCCGGTGATTTCGGGTTTGTCTACGTTAACGCAGTTTTCGGCCACAATGGCGCTGCTGAATGCCTCATTGTCTGCACGAGTGTGTCTGCCGCTCACTCAAAACTTCCATCCGCCTCGGCGGCCCCGTGCCTCTCCTAATCGAAACGATATCCTGGGGTGCGATCGCCGTTTCTCACCCTCGGCAGACCTAACCTCCATTCAAAGGTGTGTATCTACTCTCTATCTCTTATCACTCGATGTCTGTTTTTCAGTCCGAGACTTTTTAGGTTATGACGTCTCTGGCTCTGAATTTAAACTCATGCTTTCAGATTCTCACGGAGCACGTGGGGTATCGGAGGCATATTTTATTATGAAAAAAAAAATAAAAATAGTTTTCAACAATAAAGTCAGAGGGGACTACACGTCTTACGGATATCGAAGAGAGAGAGAGAGAGATAGAGAGAGAGTCAATGAAAGATAGCCGACTGAGAGTTGATTCCCACTGATTCTATTTGATGTGAATTTTCTACGGCGTGTCTCCTTACCGACAAGTCTGCTGTGCTACGCCGGCAACGAGGACATTCTTCCTCGACAATGGCTCCTACAATCGAGAGAAGCACTTTCGCGCATACTAATGGAGAGCCTCCTGGCATCACTTCGCCCTATGCTATTTGGTACGTACTTGTTCTTACCCTAGCTCTGCCAGGAGCCCAGGACAATTGATAGTAAATGAATTCTTTCCTCTTATCTACTAGGACCTACCTGTCCGACTTGTTCCGGTCCTTGTTAGCTGGTCCAGGTGTCTTACGACCCGCCTTGCGTCTACTGGACGTCCTATAGACACGACCTGGTCCAGGTCGCTGCTGCTGGGAAACACCAGAGAATGAAACTGCCTCTCGCCATTCTCCGTGCTCTCGCGTTATCTCGCCACGGAGAAAGCGTGATTGCCTTTATGGGGGAAGAAAGGGTCTTTTGCGGTAGCGATAATGTCCCGAGAGCGTGGCAGCGTCGCGACGCTATCAGAAATAAAACACGACGGCTACGGTGCTCGTGGGGAATAAGGGGGAGAGGCAGGAACTCGCTTCCAATCTTCTTCTTCTTCTTCTTCTTCTTCTTCTACTGCTGCCGTTCCTGCTGCTTTGCCTCTTCTTCTTTACTACCTTTCGGGGCTTTGGTCTCGACGCCACCATCTTTACCAACACCCATGCCCGACGCCATCATCATCACTAGCGACGCCAGAGCCACTGCTACGTCTCTCTTTCTTTCCCTCGGAGTCGTTCGGAGCAGCTCGTAAAACCACACGCAGAATCCCCGATCCAACCCACTTTGCCCTCTCTCGCCCCTGGGCTACTTTCTTAACGCCCTACCAACCCCTAGCTATACCTATTTAGCAACGAACCATCCCCCTATTGTAGTCTTCCAGCATCCACCTTGTTTTCCAGTGTTCATCCTACGAGTGCTGTATCCAATATAATCAATAATTAAATCAAGCTTTGTTATCATAGATGAGAAAAAAATAATTATACAGTAATAATATTAAGGATAGGAATATTAAATAACGATTCGATCTTGAAGTTATAAACTTAATTAATATTTTTGATAGATCGTGTTTATTCATAATGTATTTACAAACGGCACTTTTATCTTACAAAAGGGCTATTAAGTCCCTTGGGTCTTAATGACCATAATGCTGTCTACGTGCGAGGGTCGATTTCAGCGAAGCGTCCTACCTTCGCCATTAGACACTTTCGCACAAGTTCATACTGTTTGGAAAGCCGTTAACAGGCATTGAGAAAACGTCACTTTTGCCTCAATTCAATTTGTCTGAACTCCTGCAATTTCTTCAGGCCGGCCAAGTCGTGCGGCATCAAGTTGGGCCGTGCGCGAGTACGCGTGGCCTATTTTCACATGGCGATCGCACGAGAACAAAATAAGGAGAATAAAGTCGCGGTTACGTAGGCGGAGCGTCGAGAGGCGTCGCGACGCCGCATTAAATCTGTCCGTATGCACGTGTACTTACGCATACGTATGCGTTTTACTATGACTACAGGGCGGATCCCCATGTGCCTTGCGTCAGTATTCAGAATGTTTGGCTTATTTCGCATGGCTGACCGCCAAAGAAGAGATTTGCTTCCGTCGGAAAGGCTTTTTTTACGGGATAGCCTAGGATGCCTGAATGATTTGGCTCTCGGTCGTTCGCATGGTATAATGTGGTATGTGGCGAGGAGAGGGTTGGTTATCTCATCAGAATTGGACTCTCCCTTATTTCCCATATACTCGTTCGCTTTACTCTAGAGTCTACTGGTCCCTCTCTCTCTCTCCACGTGTTATTCGGAAAAGAGATCTCTTTGTAGGATTTACCTTAAACCGCACTGCTCTCACTCGCTTATCGCTCCTGGACCATTCAGCCTATCGATCTCGATTAGACTTTAATGATAAAAGCACCCTTCATTGGCGTACGTACCGCGTTATTATTTAATTAAATTTTCACTGGTTCCTTTGTGCACTGGTTGGGATTGTCTTTTTTTTTTTTAATTATTATAAGCACTGATATTCTTTTATCTTTTCATTGAACACTACCGACCGAGAGGGACGTCGCTGTTCTTGACGAACGCGAACTGCTACTTCTGTCTCTGTCATCCTCGTCATCCTCTTCTTCGACCGTTGTCGCGCTGCTGGTCATGGTGGCTGTCGTGGTGCTGGTTATCGCAGTGACGCTGCTACCAAGGCTGGAGATGCCAACCTGAGAGATCGGTGATAACATGGGCGGCATCCTCCACCAATCGGGTGCTGGCCAGCTGGATATTAGGTTCCCCCGAAAGTTAAGATCCGGAAGAACCGGTAGCGGCCTTCATATGACGTGTTGAGCAGCACCGAGTGGACTTCCGGCTAGATTCTGCACTGTGAATCCACCGCCGACGGTGGCGCTCTTGCTCGACAATCCTGTGTACTTATCGGTGTAACGTTCCGAGGCTGAGGAATATCTTCCTTCGGTTTTCTCCTCGGATTTGTTTGTGCTTTCGAATGGACTTTCGGTTTTTTCCAGTGAGAACAAAGCGTCCACGTCTGCTTTACGGTAACAAGGATGCTCCTCTTGGCTCCTGGAGTCACGAGTTTCCGTTCCGACGGCTATTGTCGCTGTCGTAGCATTTATCGGGAAGCGCTCCTCCGGCTTGACCTGAAGATACGACGACGATGGCCTCTTAGGGTCCTTGTTGGGACTTGGACATCCACAATTTGGAAGACATGGAGGTGCTGGCAATGCGGGCCAGGCGGCTGCTGCTGCTGCCTGGGAGTAAAAGGTGCTCCCGTAGATGGCTTGGAAGGCCAGGTCGGCTGCAAGCTTTCCGCTTCCGGTACCGACACCCCCACCGACGCCTACACCCACGGCGAAGTCTTCGCTCAGCTTGTGCTGCAGCGGATACAGATGGTACGGGAATGGCGGAAAGAATCTTGGTATCTTCAGGTCCTCGTGACCCACCAGTGAATGACTCGGCGGTGCCAAGGGTGGTAGCAACCCTCTGGATAAGTTACTGAGTGTTTCACTCGACGAGACCAGGGGTGACAGTGAAAATCCAAATTTGTTTTCCTTCTTCACCAACGTCTTCGGCTTTCGACGTGGACGGTACTTGTAGTCAGGATGTTCCTTCATGTGAAGCGCCCTGTAATTACAAAGAGACACAATTATTCAACGATTCGATAAACGCGATCCATTGTTACAGAAGAAAATAGTGGAGAATGATAAAGAAAAGACATATATCGAGGATCCAGACGTTATCAGCGCCCCTTCCAAATCGTTATCATCCCAGGAGACGCGTCCAGGGCAAACAAGGCGCGACGACGCCTTCAGAAAAAGTGAACGACGATAAGCCTCCATGCGTCCGCCACTTCCGGAAGCGTCCCTGACACGTTCTCTCTACCGAGGCCAGTCCAGAAGACAGTTCACTCGTCACACTGATCCCCAAATAATGACGCAAATCGTAACGACCTCAGGCACGACAATTGCCAGGTAGTCACACACTCCCTATTCTGCGAACAACCTCATAGCCTTACCGTATAAAGCCTAAAGCTACCTTCACAAGCGGCTACACGGCAAACAAGCCCTATCACATTGGAGCCTCTTTACGACTATCTGTTTACCATGCGAGATCCTGTCAATAGCGTCATGCCGATACCAACATCCGATCGCACTTCCCATAATGTTTACACACGATTGTCCGGTACCGTAGCTCAGTCACTCTGCGTCTCACTCGCTCTCTCGAACTCTCTACAGATACCCAAAAGCTCATATAGATCAAAGATCACAGTCTCGTAGCGTCTGGTTGCGGTGGCTTACGAGCCTCAGTGCTACCGACCTACCTATACCTACCTTCCTTAAGAGGAGCTCAGATAGGCAGGATCGAATCATGGTGGCGGCTGGTAATTCGTGCGAAAGGAAGAGGGGAGGCATCTGACCGAGGAAAGGGTAGGAGGGCTTGGTGGGACTTGAGGTTTCTCGAGGATGGTAATTTCTAGCGTGTAAGGAATGGAGCGACGCGGGGCTGGGGCAAGGGGGGCGGAAGGTATAAGTCCGCTCGCGCGTTATCCTAGCGACGTACATGCGAGTACAAAGGGACGTATTATCATGGAGGTTCCGACACGATACCAGCCACCATGGGTATTTGTAGTAAATATCTTGTACACACAGCCCGAGTCCTCTGCGAGGACTGGAGAGGGACCCGGAGCCATACCGAGCGGGGGCCTAAAGAGGGAACACGGGGCAACACCGTATCTCCCTCGCATAATACTCCATTATGTACCCAACGGCGCACAAGCTTAGCCCTTATTTATGCTTCACCTTGGGGCTGATAAACGAAACGAAGATACACGGGATTTTTTGAGTTTTCGCACCGTGCACTGGGAATTTCTTTTTGAGGTTGCGAACTGTGTTTAGGGAGGAGTGGGCATAAATTGTTAAAGGGCTAATACGCGTGTACCCGATTAAATCTAAGGGCGAATAGAAATCGAATTAATGGGTATTCAGGGGCGAGAAAAAAAGGGGTTGAAAAACCCGCTGGCAATGGCGTAACCGAGGAGAATAATAATTCCAGTACAATGTGTCCCGGCAGATAGCACAATGCGTAAATCAGCATAAACATCGACAAAGCTCTGGACAATAATTCAGCATAAATGCATAAACATCGAGGGGGGGTAAGAGGGGGTGGCGTAATCTTTACAATTCGCACAGTGGGTTCGCGATAAACGGCGTGCCGCCCCCTCCCTTCCTATCTTCTTTCCGGCACGAGAGGTTTCGTTGGCAATACGTCCAAGAGGTGGGGTAGCTAGGCATCAAGGGGGTTGGCATCTTCTAGGGATGCTTCTACGATATGCCTAGAAATAAATTATCGGCCTAGTCTGGTGAATAATGCTATTCGTATGGCTCGTGATTTTGAAGATATTTTGTGAATAAAAAATAAAATGAAAAATAAATGAAAATTGTGGAACCGCAGTCAACAGAACTGGAGTATCCATCTGTGGTAGCAACAAAGGGGTAGGAAAGTCTGACTGTGGGGGTGGGTCGGTTCAGCCTGGCGATGCCGGTGATGATGCTGGTTGCTATTGGGTGGTCCTAGTTGGCACTTCTGAGGGGTGGGTGGTGACGGTGGCTGCGAAGAGCAAGAGAGGCGCAAATCCTTTTAAATCCACACAATTGCGACAATGGGGCTTTATTTGTTATCTCGAGGGCCACATTGTGACTCGCCGTGAACGAACGGACAGATTACGTCGGGCCAGTCACGTGGTGGCTTTAACGGAATGCGACCATTCCGAGACTTGGTTTCAACGGAAATATTTCAAACGTTTTCACTCCTCTCTATCTTTCTCTCTCTTTATTTTACGAGGAACCGTTCTCGTAAAAATGGATTTCCCCGACGCCTCCCGTCGCGACGTCCTCCAGGTATAAGTTTGCTCTGCTTTGTTTTCACGCTCGCTAAAGTCTAGATGAAAATTTTTTTTCTTCCAACTATATCTACCTTTATCACTTTCTTCTCCGACCACCCTATAGAAACCGTCTAACCTTACCGCTTTATCTAATCGTGCACAGCTAATAGAAATTTTTTATTCAGACTGTAATGTTTGACGAGAAATATTTTTATCTTTTTAATATTATACCTGTGAGAAACAATTTTTTAGGTATGACGATTTAGAAATTTTTTTTATGTATAAGGGATGACGGATTAATTGTATTGGCTGTGGTTGGTCAGGGATATGCTTATGGGGAAAAAAATATGCTCCTGCAACCCTTATGGTTTGCGTTCTCGTCGAGCTAAATAAACTCATAACGGTGATTAAATATTCAGCCCCGATAATAAAGAGCTCATCCCACTCCCTCGTTTTCGCCACTCTATTCACCCTTGGCCGTTTGATGAAGTATATAGAGGCGATGGATATTATAGACGGGACTCAGTCTCTACCCGGTAACTATGGCTTATGGATACATATAGAAAGAGAGAGAGAGAGAGAAAATCAAAACATACCCTTGTTGCTACGGTAACAATGTATTATGAAGCGGCGGTACACGGAACGAAACTAAACGAAGTGGGGCTGTTTTTTCATCCCCTACGATTTAACAGGCATCGCAACCCCTCGCCGAGCCAAACCCATCTCCTCAATAATTTCAACCCCTGCTCGCGCCTTATTTTCTGTATCAGCCAACCGAAGCATCTTGGAAACTATCAGGGTGGAATTAGCGACGGAGTGCGATTCTTGGAAATTTTTAATTTTTTCTCTCCGATTTTTAGTAAAAAATCTTAATTAGCGACTTTTTATTATTTTTTACTATAACCAAGTAAAATTATATCTTTACTCACCTGAGTCTCTTGGCCTCGTCGATGAAAGGCCTCTTCTCGCTCTCGCTCAACAATTTCCACTCGGCACCGAGTCTTTTCGAAATTTCGGAATTATGCATTTTTGGATTTTCCTGAGCCATCTTGCGACGCTGTCCACGAGACCAGACCATGAAAGCATTCATAGGACGCTTGATATGCTCGTTGTGAAGAGTCTTCGAAGACGACATTTTTCAATTTTAATATTTTTTCAACAACAACCCCCTTAATAAAAATTTTCTCGCCACACGCGGTCGCCCCCGCCTGATTGGCTATTGCACGCGTGTCACACACGTCCCTGGCCACCTGACCATCCCCATCGTCCCTTGACCCTCCACACAAAAACTTGTTCAATCGACAGACATAAGTCAAAGTCTTCGATCACTTCAGCAGCGTCTTCATATTTCTCATCTCGACAAGTCCCAAAAACACTCCTCTGATTCGACAACAATGATCAACAATAAATAAAAAAGAACCTATCCCCAACATACAACAAGCCCAACTAAACAGTCAATGAACAACAAAAGATCCGTTCATTCATTTTCCACGTGGTCCCGTCTTCTTGGTCTAGCCAGGTGACCCAAGACCAAAAAAAAAGTCAAAATTTTCCGACGAAAAAAAAAACAACAAAAAATATCCACCTGTATACGACGTCGCGACGCGTCGTGTCAGGGCGTCCTTAGCTCGCGACGGGAACTCAACGATGAGCGCGCGCGACTCGTCGATGCTGGAGCAAGGACTCCTGGCGCTATGATGTCGTCGAGGACCTCAGGGCAAAGTAGCTTCTCTCGCGCTCGCGCTCTCCTCTCACCTTCTCGTGCTGGATGCTAGAGAGGGAGCGAGATAGCCCTACCGAGGTACAGGGACACAGAGAGAGAGAGACGGAGAGACCCAGGGAAAGTCTCTCTCCTGTCTCTCCGCAGCGCGCGCGCACCCTAACCAACCAGCACTGAGCTGCCATTCCCACCATGGTCTGCCGTTAATGTCCACCCACGATTGGCCCTTTCCGCGACATGGCGGCCTACAGAAAGAGCTCACGCAACAGGTGGACTTCTTCCTCCTCCTCCACGTCAGCCACCATACACTCCTCACAGTCACAATTCTCCCTCTCTCTCCCTCTACCGTTATACCCATACCGACCCCCCCTCGGCTACCCCCACTCTGCGTACATGGCGCTCCGATACATATGTGGCTCCTATACCTCCTTTGTGAGATGAACTGGGGAGCACGTGTGTGCCTCGTAGATGCGTCTACCACGGGGTGACTCCGGTGGACTTCCCCCGTCGGATCGCGAAAACGTCGTAGGATAGGATTATCGCTTGGTACTGGGATTATACCCTTTCTTTTATTTGGTAATCTTGGTATACACCGTTGGATGGGTTTTGTATGGGTATACACTGTGAACAAGGGATGACAGTTGGTGATACATGTAATATTATTTTTATAATTTTTAATTTCAATTTAACGCACTGTTGCTATTATTTTTAAATGACCATGTATACTTGTGTAAAATCGAATCCGAACGTCTAACTGTGATATATAAGGATGGTGGGTATTTATATTGAAAAGGACCAGGGGATTCTCATCCTGGCATAATGTCCCTTTTATATCGGTAGCCAAGACTCGTAAAGTCCTATCGGTCGTGTGCAGTCGGGAAGTTCGATTCACCCCCGTATAACCGCTTATTATACGCATCCTTGATATTAGTCAGCGGGCGGTCAGAGGGGGTTGCGATATCTTTCTGGTTTTCATTGGTAAGTGTCCTGGGCGCTCCAAGAGTTTAGGGGTTGGTTTCTGCAGTAGTGTTCAATTAGCGGGGCACGCTGGTCCGCAGGGGTAGGTGTATCTCAGATTGAAGTTGCGATAGGGCCACCCTCGATGATGGGGGCTGGTCCCGACGGATCATGAGGCTTGAGGTAGACGTCTACCCAGTCGAGGCAGATGAGAGGAGCGAGCAGGGCTGGACGGTGGATGCCAAGTGACTTTTCTAGAATGGGCTTGGGGGGGTGAAGCATCCCCCCGGCCGATTCCGTACCGATAGGACCCAGCCGTAGTGGCGCTTCCGCATAAGGGCGGCACGGGGTGGCACGCGACCGCTGATTATACCATTCATCGGCACGGAAGCTGCGAAAGAGGGTGCGAGTCATAAACGCCCTCGCAACCAACCCCCGTTTCGTGAATGCTCCCTCATCAATGAAACAATCCTGCTTTTTGGTCCGAATACTCACCGACGCGTTACAACTCTGTCTACTAAATACTCTACCCTTGACGCAAGCTACCACCGCCGACTACTCGTCACTCGCATTTCTACTGACAATCGGATCTGCTCTGTGGTCCAGCGGATGATACCACTTCTCAGTTTTATATGCATTTTCGTGTAATCGTCGTATACTCTGGGCTGGTCCTGATACGGGGTGTACCGGTACGCTGTTAGGGGTTGCGCCGGTTCTCATAGAAGGGGACGTACGTGGAAGCGTTTTCAAGCGACGATTTTTTCTTGTTTCCATAATCACGAAAACAATGCAGTCCATAACGTTTGCCGCGGATTGTAACGACTGCTGAGGTGACAACAGTACTTGTGGGGTAGTACTGGGACTGGTACAAGGGATGCTGCCACCCTGTCCTACTATCCCGGAGCGCTCGAAGCCTCGCTGATTACACCATTGTCAAGGTGGGGGTAAGGATGGTGTGCGTTTAGGGTAGTAAGGGTAGTCAGTGCTGGTGCTAGCTAGAGAATTTAGGGCTGGTGAGGGTTGTTTCGGTTAATCGTGAACTCATCCTGTCACAACAGATCGTTTTCCAGATACAGTCACTGCGAGGATCCTCGTCCGCGAGGACGAACGATTGGTTAGGAACTGGACTTTGGAGCGCTTTGCAGGGGCTAGTAACAATGGGGACAATGGGGAAAAAAGGGGGAGAAGAAATGACGAAAAGTGGACAAGGAGAATGGTGGGAGGAAATGGAATTTCACTATGTTTGCTGCCGGTCCGTCACGATATTGCGTATTCAGAGCGCTACGTGGCGCCATTGCCATATCAAAATAGAACGTGCCACAATAAGTTATTCGAGCGAACAAAATGGGGTGGTAGTATTTTATAGAGTAGTCACCGTTGAGTTACACACGTTGAATACGTCGACGAGAGCAGGATTATGTGACTTGAATAAATCGTCTGAAATGGCATCACGAAGGCAGCCATCATCGTCATCATCATCAGCAACAGCAGTGTAGAGCGTGAATGCAATGACGAGGGGTCCAAACACTCAATAAGATCAGCATAACCTTTCAACGAAATTAACAATGACACTTCAACCGCCCGACGTTTTCCAGGTTAAAATTCTTGGACGATTACGCCGCGATACTTTCGATATCACGGTTCGATCTATCGAAACGCATTAATCACAATCGAAAAATAATTAGTAGCTTCTAGAAAGGTCCGCTGAGAATATACCAAGCGTGTATAGACAGCTGTGTAAAGGACTCGTCGGTATTTTTTCACAAAAGATCACACGGGATTCAAGATACAGTGTTGCGTGCACGATGATTCCCGAACGTTTCCGATCCTAACAAACCCACGAGCCGATCCACTCGCTGAATCGACTCTGATTGTGAGGAATGGCTCGCGCATTGCGTGGCACGTTGTATCGTCTAGCTGTATCAACAAATCTATGTACGAACCTATAGGCCTACGCACCTTTCTATCCTCTTCTGATTCGACAGATGATACATCTGGTACATGGGTCGTCATAAATCACCTATGGCCAAGTACAAAGTCGCGTGCCGCCATAAATAGTCTATTTTATAACCTTTAAAAAAAAGAAAACTCTTTCGCAGCCCTATCCGTCACGAGTATTTTACATACTTTAATTCTCTACGTAGTTCCGCAAACGTCCGATAGATTTCGCGCCACGAATAACACAGTAGCTAGAACGTGAACCCAATGGACAATAAATGAAGTGGCAAGATTAGGTATTACCAGAAGAGACGTCGTCGTGCGTCGCCTGCAAAGGGATAACGTATCCCAATAGAGTACAATGGCGGACTGTCGGCATTATGGGGGACATTGTCGTGCGGACGATATGAGTCGCGTGGCCTCGGGTATACAAGGGCCAATATCGAGGTTGATACAACCCCCACCATAACCCCACTAGGGTTTTCTTTGCAATCGTCACTTTCGGCTTCGCGTGGTTCGGGGTTTTGTTTTCAGGCCAAGCAAAACGACCTCATTGGATTTCTATCTGGTCCTGTTTCGTGCCGTTAGAGTGGTATGGCGTGTGTCGGATTGAAAGTTCCCGGTACTACTGTATATAGGTATACACATATGACTATTCTCAATGTACGACTTCTGTTATATGTATACGTGAGAAAATGATACCGATCGGTTCTTCGGAATGAGACGACCCCCCCCCGCCACATCCTTCCCCCGACCACTCGTCTTTATTCACTTCCATTATATACCTCTTTCTCTCGTTCGTTATCGAGACGCGTAACAAACGGAACAAACCCGCTTTGAATTGGACGCAAACGAGGAAGATCTTTAATAACAATTAGCGCGACTCAGCGGTAAACAATTGGACTAACAACGTTAGAGGGATCCTATAGCGAGGTATATCTATGTGGAGAGCTACTGACTGTAGAGTTAAAAGTTAAAAACGTTAAAACCAGCGTAGTAATCGAATGGACGCCGGCATTGTAAAGGATCAGACGACTGTGGTTGATTCCAAGATGATCTTTGCCTTGTATAGTGGATACTGAAGATTTGTACCTACAGCATCGAAAATGTAGTTATCATTTGATTTGATGATATCGATTGTATTTTTTTAGTCATTTTAGGGGGGGGGGGAATTAATTTTAATTAAATTTCAATTTGCATCTTGACCTGTTGAGAACATTTTTTCAAAGTTGATCTAACACTCGTATGTTCTTGGTTGGGAACTAAAAAAAAGTTTTCATCCCTTAAGTAGGGTCGAGGTGCGTTAAATCCTACTTGGGTAGAGCTTATACCTACTTCTAGTTCCTGAGGTCCTCGGGGAACTCACCCTTCTCGTACACCCTACGGAATAGTCATTCTAAATATTTGGATAGTCTGGACTATGCGGTTAGCAATGAATTTTTCGTCGTATTTATTGCACAGTGGTACAGTGCGATTTTTGAGATTTTTTTTTTTAGGTTTTTGATTTTTGGATCGCAGGTTATGATTATGCTAAAGGATGATGGTTTTGGAAGACTTTCGTATCAATAAAATAATTGGTGTCTAATAATAAGTATATCGTTAATTCATATTGAGAAAAAGTCTGTAAATGGAAAGTAGGTTCGCATACAATTTGATAAGATCATTTATTTTGTGATAGTCTCAGGTCGAAGGAGTTGCAGCGAGTTCAGGATCGTCGGAACCGTTCGGCTGCTGTCGGTGAAGATCGCTGTGGCAGTCGTCTACGTCGCGGAAATGAAGAGAATCTAGCAGATAGGACATGTCAGGAACATTAGAGCCACTATCTGGCATAGAGTTTACATTTAGGAATTACGGAGTACGACATTTGCTTCACTATGAAATTCGCCCCCTAGCTGTACTAAAACACCCCTAAGGAACGGAAGGGTGTTGGCAGCAGCTAAGGTGTTCTTGATTAAGCAGTGGATAATTTAGGCATCGACAATCAAACGTGAAATTTCGTGTCTTGTGTTAGTAGCGTTGAGGGATGGTATTTTCCATGGAAAGGGGTAGTTAGTATTAGATAATAAAAAAAGAAACGATCGGGGAGCATATAAGCGTGAATAGGGGGATGGAAAAAAGAAACAGTAAAAATCCTATTGAGGGATGATGCAGCAGCGCTTGGAGCCACTCAACGCTCGTGTGGACAGGAAGAGCCTAAATCCTCCCCTTTCTGCCTTTGTGGTTAATACTGTCCAATTCGCTTTTCTCCAGCTGGTTACTATACAGGGCTTTGTCGGAGTCGACCTCTATCATAAAGCCCCAAATCCTGTTTGTGTCCACTGTGCGAAAAAGGCGATTGGTTTTCGTGACTGCTTTGCTGTTGAGTATGGATTTTTTTTTAAGTATGACAAGTTCCTCTTTCCTTATACTGATAACGTCAGCGTTATCATCGCCATCTGAGCACTGTGACGGGTCCTTGATGACCTAAGGACTTCCTGTGCCTCCTGTCGATGTTCTGGTATTTTAGTTCAGAAATACAGTCACCTGCTGCGTTTAGATTATTTTATACAATAATGTGCCGACCATGAGAAACACGTTTTTATCGACAACTCGAAGTTTTGTTACTGAAGGAGCGTAGAAGTTTTTGCTGTTGTCTTCAGTCGGTAAGGCTGGGAATTATTAGTCAGTGGGTAATGGTTCAGGTCCCGGCTGATTTTTCAGTTCTTGTTTTCTTACCGGCTTAGTAATATCAGGGCTGATCGATTGGTTTTTTCTAAGGCATAAAATAATAGAGGGCGGCAGTGAATCAATCGTAAGGGTTCTTTTGATCGATCCGAGGTATGACAGTAGGAAGTAAGTTGGTTTTTATTTGCTACTGTGACAATGAGGAGTAACGAATAAATGGTATCCCTTCATAACTTGCAATGTAATCTGTAAAAATGGCCCGATAGTTTCACGAGAGACAATTAAACGTCCTGGAAATGTCCGCTTGACATCTCTCTTTTAGTCGCTGCTCAAAATCTAATTGCGCCCCTTGAAAACGCACACGCAAGAAGAAAGTCGCGGTAGCAAAAGAAGAAAGGAAACTCGAGGAAACTAAGGAGCAAGCTCTACGTTTACAAGGGTTGTTTGTGAAAGTTAAGCAGAGTAGAGCGACAGTATGGTACGCAGCTATTTGTCATTATACGGCGTTCTCGCCTAATTGGCTCGTTATACCGATTGAAATTCATTATCCATCGTGTGGAACAACGGTGCTAATTAACCGAACAATCAGTCAGGTGTCGCGCGTGTGATTGTCGGTAAAAAATACTTCACAGGCATTTGCCTCGTGAATTTCTGCAACTTCATGACGTATCTGACCAGATCCAAAATAACGAGAGTACTTAATTTTGACAAAGAAAATTTTAAACTACATTACCTTATGAGGCTCTCGAGGAAAATTGATTTATATTCGTTCTCAAAATTATTGTCCCGTCCATCTGGAATTTTCAAAGTAGAAAAGTTAGAACCGTTATTCGTCCTCGAACAAATTGACCATTCGACCCATTAGTATAGGTAGCATTATGGTGAATGTCATTCGAAAATGAAAAACTATGTACCGTTCATAAACCGGCAGATGCGAAGTTGCCTATAAATTGAAGTCCCTTTTGGAATGTCCCCATAGCAGTGCTCGCAAATTCCCATTTCCCTTCGCAGTTACAACGTTATGTGCAGCCCCTGTCACGTACCAGGGCAAGACACGAATTTTCCTGCTTGAGAGCCACGTGCTTTGGGCTCTGCGACGGCAGCACCTACACTGCAAATTGATAGCCCAGCCTTGTCACCATTCTCCATCAATTGTTAACCTGGAAAAAAAAACTGTTAAGAAAAATTTATCAAACTATACCAGACTTCAGAACCCTTAAGAGTGTCAGGGTGCTTTCATCCTATAGTACCAAGTAAATTGTGATTATCAAAGAGTGAAACATAGGCTGGTACACTTAACTGCAAACATGCTACATTCCCGATTATTTTTTAATTTCTCTTTTCCTTTCTTAGCTCTCTCCTGGTTACGGAGATCAGTATCAGTTCGATCGGGGCCAGTTCCTTCGTTGAAGAAGCTGATTGGCCGGCCCAAGTATCGGGGGCCGAGGTCGGCCGATGCGGGGCCCTCGGAGTGGAGGAACGGGGAAGAAGGGAAAAAAAGATAAAGATGCACAGGACCGCCCAGCTCGCGGTGAGGGCATCCTTTCCCATCCTGGTGAACGGATTCTCGTGGTGAGGACGTCGAGGGCGGTAACCCTGTCGCGCCATTGCTTAAAGCTTTGTTCATACACCCAGAATCACGCACCATTTTCTTCAAGCTCGTACGTACATCAATCCTGAGGTCGATTCTTTTTCCAGCCCTGCCTCGTCCCATCGAAAAGGCTTTTCACCGGATTCGGATGAGAAGGACGCTTCTGGAAGATGGACGCCTGGGCGTCCCTCTCGACGTCCCTGGGCATATAACGCGATCCGCGAGCGAGCAACCGAGTTAAAAGTCACAGGAGGCTTTTCAGCTTTTGAGAAGATCTTGAATCAGGGATGAGGGTTGCTCCTTTATTCTTCTCTCCCTCCTCCAGCTCCTCCCCACCCACTCTCTGTCTCTCCTCCTTCTCCTCAGGTTCTCCCTTACCACCAGAATCTTCTCTCACACGGGTGACACGGTAGCTCTCTTTGCCTTGGCCTCGACTCGGTGCTACCACTACAAGCTACCAGTTCGGTTTGGATGGCTGAGCCCGAAGCTCACGACTCGCCCTTCCTCTGCTCTTCGGAACCTTTTCCAATCTTCCTCCAAACTCTTCTGTTGCCTCCGTGTCTCCAGATTCCAACTCATTCTCATGGTCCTCACTCCTTCTGACTCCTTCCACCTTGTCGGGTTTGTACCACCTCCTCCTTCATCCAGACCTTCAGTGGAGTCTCGTGTCTCTTTTCCTATTTTACTCTCTCTGACTTAGTCCCTTGGTCTTCTCTATCTTTTTCTTACAGCCACCATCACCGACAGCATCGGCAGTAGCTACAGAAGCAGCAGCAGCAGCAGCAGTACTGGTACTGGTACTCACTCCGCTGGTACTGGTTTGGTACACCAGCACACAAGGTACTACTAGGTAGTGGTAATGGCGATGGTGGTGGTGCCGCTAGCTGGTGCCTTTAGAAGACGACAAAAGAACATCGCGGCGGAGTCAAGATGGCGGATCCGAGGCAGCGACTGACTGTGCCTATTGTTGCCACGAGCAGAGAGACAAAATGAACCCGATTGTTAGTCCGGGAGGCATCATAATGAACGCCCATTCAACGGGAGACACCAAATGAGCTCCCGCGTCTTGTCTCGTGGCTTTGTCTACGATACTTTTAATTTTCTCGTTTTGTCTTCCTCCTTACCAGCTACGTCGGTCAGCACTTTCTTCTTTTTCTTCGACTGCCAACCACCCCTCCACCTCTACTCTGCTTCTTCGTCTTCTTACGTCTCATCTCCTGCTCGTTCGTCTCTCTTCTTTTTCAGGACCACGAAGTAGCGCCTTCGGTTCATAAGGAGTCGAGATCCTCCCCCCCCTGGTTTGTTCCTTTTGCCAGCCTGTGAAAATGAAAATATTATTGCTCGATCTGCGTCATGCATAAATGCATCGATGGCCTCCTTTGTCGCTGTCAACTCCTGCCGGCGGCTGAGCAAACAACGATATCCATAATATAAAGTCACTGGCTTATTATGCCAAGTAATAGTACCTAGTGCTGGTGCCAGCACTGCCAGTATAAGTGCTACTATATTGAATATCACAGAAATCTATATATATATGTATATACCGACGCCATCACTCCTCTTGAGATAACTTCACTCATTCTCCCAATCTTCACCTTCCTTCAGGTATACCAAGTATACGCTTTCCACTGCGTGCCATTGGCCTTCGATTCTTACTGGTCTACGAAATCGTCGCACTTTTTCTACGGGTCCGTGAAGACAGGATCGGCCTGAAAAATAAGGAGTCGGAACGGCGTCATCAGAAACACCGCTTGAACATCAGGAGAAACATGGTGGTTGCCTACGGTGGTTCTAATACCTGAACCGTATAAAAACGTGTCGTCGATTTCTTCCCTCCTGCTTCAGGAGGTCTCCCTGTTGGCACCGTGGTCCCCTCCTAGTTCCCCCACGAGAAAAAGAGAATCATGAATGCCAACTTCGGATGGCTGCGAGGATCGATCCCGTACCCGTGGCCAATCGCATAAAATCGACTCGAAAGTGATCGATACCCGATGAGACGCACGAAACTCAGGAGAGGCATTTTCGGTAGCACACTGAGAGAGAGAGAGAGAGAGAGAGAGAGAGAGAGAGAGAGAAATGAACCACGATCATCCCAACGGTGTATATAGTATACTCTATGAACGTTAGGTATACATACGAGCTACCCCATAGAAGTCACCAATCCTGACGGTAGGATCCTCTCGAGTGGTAGGGACCCCGACAAATCGACATTGTTCCCACAATGGCTAATAAATTGTTTTTCGATCTCCATCGATGCGCGATATCCCAAGGCAAGGTGGCCCTGAAAGAAAAACGAAATGAGAGAGATAAAGATAGAATGACTACCGATCGACTACCATTTTCCTCTTTTATTATATTCTATCTTTTTGTCATTCCTCTTCTTCATCTTCCATCCTTTTTTTTTCACTTCCTTCCACTCTCCATTCTTCTTGATGACTTTGGTGACGGTTCTTGTGACAAAGGGGATCAAATGGATTCCCCAGTCTCGTATAAAACCTACGGGACTTGAATAGTTCATAAGGTTTCAGGTTTTAAACCGATCAAACTACCACGTTGAGTACCTGAAAACTTGAGTACCGACACTAAGAGCCAGCAAGTTTTCATAATGAAAAACAGCTGCCGTGGTAATGGCCCGAGACTGTCGTCATATTAGGCTACCCCTTACTAATAGAAAACACGCGAGTTCACCCAAGTCAAAACCTGTAAAGTCACGTTGTTACATTGGCCACACTGACTAACTGTCTCGTATGCTTGGTTAACGTCAATTCAAAGTCACTGTCGTTGCTGCCAATGGCATTACGCCCGTGGACAATGATGTTTTTGCAAATTCAAAGTCGGACGTGATTAAAACCAATAAAACAGTCCTCCCGTGGACATTGCACGCACGTAAAAAAGGGACATTATAACCTTTACGATTCGTACTGGACGAGCTAGAAGAAACTGTCAATTCTTATGGCATTAACTATGGACTACATAGACGCGTTCGGTCTAGCATGATTAATTCTATTACCTGGCGGAGCCTCTGGGTACTACGTGGTAATTTATTATTTTGTCCAATTTCATTGTTATCCTCAGCCATCCCCACTAATAGTTCTCATTCACTAAGAAAGGAGATACTGTCCATTCTTGTTAGTCCTTACTGCATTCCTGACTCGAGTTTACCTTTTACTCTATCTCGCCACCTTTTCTCTATTGGCTAAATGATTTCAGTTGTGGATCCTGCAACAGTCGAAAGATCGATCCATCGAACGTCAATTCACGTTTATTATGCTCTGTGCATACGGAGAGTCTATGGTTCTACAAAGCCTCGGAGTATTGCTGTTTATCCATGGGAAGATTTACTCGCTTGAACAGATGGGGTATCGGTGTCACCCCTTGTCTACTGGAGTCATTAGCTATCAGCTATTGTGCTACGTGTACCAAATGACTTTTCATTCGATGCTCAATGTTTGTGCTCAGCTGCTCGCATGTTTGAAACCGGAAGCTACGGTGTTTGAGTGACAATCGGACTAATAATTTTTACGTGATTTTAAGACATTTGTTTTTTAAGATGACTTACGGTCGCTGGATGATCGGTGGAATCTCATGAAAAATGGTCATCGGATCATCAGAATAATATTCGGCGGTTCGTTACACGTGAGTTATGTGAAAATACAACATGGCCGACTTTAACGAATCTATAGTGATATTTAAAAGGAAAAAATGGCTTTTCAACAGATCCCAATGCTGATCAGTCATTGGATTTAATTCTTCGTATCATCAAGTATCTCGGATACTGTAGATAATAGTTGCATCGGTATACTAGTAGGCAACCAAGTATCATGCTGGATGGTAACTATACACATAATGGATCTTCTCGTGTAATTTATCACCGCTAGTAACAAGGAGCCCTCAAGTTTCTACATATTTCAGCCCCACCTACTCTTTCTTCGGGACTCCACCATCACCGCCACCTTGAACCTCCTACGGGAGTACCTACTTCTACCTTCACTGCCATCTCCAGGATGCCCATCGAATCTCTCCTCTTCCTTCTGCGACTCTGCGCTTCTCTTCTTTCTCTCTTTCTCTCTCCGACTCTCCCCATTTCTCCAGTACTTTCTCCTACTCGTAGAACCCGCCCCCGTTTTCCAAAGGCAGTCGACTCCGCCGTTCGTGCTCACGGGGCGGGGGGGTTGGGATTCCTGGCGGCTGCTGGTGGGGACGGGGGTTGACGGGAGGGTGGCTGTGGGTAGGGAGTATTATTTATACCCG